CCGGACACAGAACTGGGTTCAGGGGATGGACAGCCTCCTGACAGGTCTTGGACGGACCTAGGAGGTTCTACAGAGATGCCCAACAGTGGCTATCATTTAGAAGGGCCAGAGAGCCTACAGCTAGGCGGGACAACCAGGTCACAAAGTGACAGAAGCCCTGGCCTGACGAGCCCGGTGGGCAAGCAAGCAGGCCAGGCATTGGGGCACAGTCCTTGGAAGGCACCAAGGCATGATAAGGGGAACAGGCACACGTCACTCCTCAGTCAGGGGACACCTGCCAGAGACCCAGAGCCTAGGAGGTCACAGAGAGTAAGGAAATCACCTAAATACTTTGAGGATTACATAACATTGCTGTCTAAACAGAGCCAGTAGAAGGGTAGGAACACTGGGGAGTAGAGAACTGCATCAAGAAAATGGGTTGCATGTTGGTAGTAGTTTTAGCCCGGGGGAAAGGGGTGTTATGTCCCGAGCTTGCAAACGGGCTCGGGGCGTTTACAGGCGGTCCCGGGCAGGTGCAAGCTGCCCGGGACCAGACAGGCTGTCACCAGCACCTGTGCGCATGCGCGGGTGCTGGCGCGCGAAAAGTAACACATTGACCCGGGAAAGGCCTATATAAGAGGCCGGGAGTTTTGGGCGTTGCCGGAGCATTCAATCTGTAAGGTGAATGAAGAATAAAGCAATCTGAGAACTACAACTGCTTCTCGTGTCTTGCCATTTCGCGAGGGACTCAACATGGAGCATGTGGTTAATGTGGGTGGCTTTTTGATAGACTTGCTTTTCTAATTTGCTGCCATTTCCTCTGCTGAAGAAGATATCCAGAAAAGGTAGTGTGTGGTTATTTTCTTCTTCCCTTTTGAATTTTATCCTTTGAAGATGTTGGTGATTGTTTCATGTGTTTTGTCAGTTGTTCTTTTATTATTATGACAAATGTGTCATCAACATACTAGATCCATACTTTTGGTTGTGTGCATGGGAGTGCTATAGCTTCTAGATGCTGCATTACAATCTCTGCTATGAGCGTTGAGAATGATATTCCTCTAAATTAGTCTGAATTATTTTTGTGTGGTAGAGTAGTGGAACCTGGGGACAGTTAAATCCAATTAGATTTCATTCTTATTTAATTAATGTTATGTATAAATCAATATTTTTTTCTTTTGTGAAATCAATATCAATTTGGTAAAAACAACTGGAGATACCAAGGTTTTGGGAGACCTTTTCTGGTCCTATCCTCATGATGTTTGTGAATAAAAATCTACATTGAAATGAATCCTAAATCACAGATGTAGATATTTAGAAGCAGAGATTTCTGCTGAAAGGGGAGTCAAATAGTCAAAATGGTAAGCACAAACTTGTGAGAGAGATGGAACTTGATTTCACATCGATATCACACCAATTTTTGATCCCCTTGTGGATATCATGGTTTAGAAGGGCACTTTCAAACCGTTATGCCTACAGGGACTTTATAAATAAAATGGCTGAACAAATTCCCTTTTTTTCCTATTGGAAAATATTTTCTGCATTTTGACTCCTTTTAAAAGATTTCTTTTCCATCTCTAGTTACTATGACAACTTAATTGTCCTCTGTATGCTGCCCACACTGCAAGAGAAAGAAGAATTGACAGTATAGCTTGTATATACATAGCTTGTTGGAGTACTAAAGGTATTGTTCAGCTCTTCTCAAACCACCATCACCTCCTCCTCTTCCTCTTCCTTCTCCCTCCCTCCCTCCCTTCCTCTTCCTCTTCCTCTCCCTCTCCTTCTCCCTCTCAAAATGACCACAAGTCTTTGGGGATTTCTCCTTCTAAATAAAACTTAACATAGATAAATATTGTTCTTGAAATCTCTTAGGATTTAGACAAGTGACACCATAAACATATATGTAGGGTTTATTTGGCCTGCTCAATTGAAAATTGAAAGAATGCTGCCAATGAAGGGTTATGCACAGCTTCTGGTCTTCCATGATAATAAAGAAGATCTAAAGGAGCAATGATCTTATTCAGGTTTGCTTGAACACCAACTGAAATCCAGATAAACTATGTTTATTTTCTCCAAATAGTGATTATCAAAAACCAAACAGATACAGACACAAGGTACAGGACTTGATCAAACTCTTTGAGTCCCACACTTGATCAAACTCTTTGAGTCTACTTCAGTGAAAAAACATCTAAAATATAATAAACTATTTTTGAACTGTAAATCATAAAAATGAATGTAAGATTTTGATAGTATAATGGGATGTTTCACCAGGAGAGAGCCAGTTTGGTGTAGTGGTTAAGGTGCTGGCTTGAAAACCAGGAGACTGTGAGTTCAAATTCTGCCTTAACCATGAAAGCCAGAGGGATGACTTTGAACCAATCACTCTCTCTCAGCCCAGTTCCTTCATAGGGTTGCTGTCCTGAGAAAAAATAGGAGGAGGAAGTAGTAGTATGTGTGTTTTCTGCAGAATGGAACAACTCGCCGCGGCCAACTCACTGTGGCCAACTTGCGAGTTGGCTGTGAAGAATTGTCATAGACCCATTTGCTGCCTTGAGTTACTTATAAAACTTATAAAAGCAGGGTAAAAAATCTAATATATGAATAAAAATTCTTGATTCCATCTCCTTTTTCTCTATAATGTGGATTATAAACTTGTTGGGAAGAAATGTATGGCAGAAATCAACAGTCTTTTGGAGACTAAAACATACAAAGAACAGCTGCAGGACTTGGGTTTGGCTAGTCTAAAGAAAAGAAGAAACAGGGGAGACATGATAGCAGTGTTCCGGTATTTGAGGGGCTGCCACAAAGAAGAGGGCATCATGTTATTCTTCAAAGCACCAGAGGGCAGGACAAGAAACAATGGTTGGAAACTGATCAAAGAGAGAAGCAACCTGGAATTAAGGAGAAACTTCCTGACAGTGAAGACAATTAACCAGTAGAACAGCTTGCCTCCAGAAATCATGGCTGCTCCATCACTGGAGATTTTTAAGAAGATGTCTGAGGTGTAGATTCTCCTGCTTGAACAGAGGGCTGGACTAGAAGACCACCAAGGTCCCTTCCAGTTCTATTCTATTCAGTTATTAAAACTAACACATCTGATATTGCATAAACTTTTGTGGCTCACAGTCCACTTTGTCTCATCACTATGAGCATGAAAGCTTATACATTATACAAAAGACTAGCATGGCTGTGCCTCTGGAAAACATTAAGATTGAAATATTAATATGTATGCACTAGCTCATTCACAGCTATCACCTATAACACTTAATATTATCAGGTTTTGACATATGCTATCTTCTTTAAATAGTAAAAAGAAATTCATATACAAATGTTTTTCACTGTAGCCATACAAGTGTGAAAACTTTGATAGATCAATAGAAGACCCCAATTTGTCTGCTATATTTAACAGTGGCTCTCAAAGTTGCTTAGGTCTACAGCCATCTATTGTACAGTTACCTGGTCATTGAGAAGAGTAGTAATGGATTTTTGTGTCCTTGCCTTTCTAAGTTCCCACAAAAAATGGTATGGCTAAAAGTCAGACCCCCCGCATAATCAAAACAATAAAAACTTAGAATGAATATTTTCTGTGGCAGGAATAAATCATTGGACGACAATAGCCTGGAGAAGTTGTATACTGTAATAGGTGAAAAATTAGACAGAAATGAACAGACTGGAGATGAAAGCCAAGTGAATAGAAGCTTTGCAATGGAACCTGATTGATTGGTCATAATTTAAAAGGCACAAAGCTCAACCAGTGGAGGAAATCCAGGAGAATATACAGTACATGGTTCCTGGTTCTTTCCTCCCCCATACATTGGTTGTAGTAAATAAGGCTGTTAAGAAGATAGAACACAGAAATAAAAAGCTGGGAAATTGTTGATCGGGGTTTTTACACAGTTTTTTTTTAAAATTAAACTGAGACTAACTTTAACAAACAAGAGTGAGTAACACATTTTGGTCTTTAAGGGATCAGGTGTAGATTGGATTTTTTTACTAGGTATAATATTAACCTAGTATTACAGAAAGGCACGTATAGAGCAATTTTCAGGAGTGTGCAGAATCATATTATCAGAGATCTTATTCTTTCTTTCCCAGTAAACTACCTGCGATGTTGCTTAGATTATTATAATATGAAACCATTTTGGTTGACCCATAATGGACAAACTAATCATGGGAAATATAATTGTTTGCTTTCATTCCATGCCATTTTCTTAGCTGAGCCTAAGATTCAAATGTGATTCTCAGGCTCAAATCTTTATCTTGCAAATTAGCTTTGGTAAAGGAGTAAATCCTTTCAATTCATTGCAAATGATCCAAGACTTAATCTGAGAGTTAGAAAGTTAGAGAAGCAAAGCAGTCTCCCTCTTTTCTTTCTTGGAAAGAAAAAAAAAACATTTGCAATAAGCTGGAACTGATTTCCTATTCCCAAGATAATTTTTATTAATAGTTTTAAAAAGAAAGAAGATGGTACCTTTGCTATTTTTACCTGGTAGTGGTTAAAGTAACTGCTGTTGATTATTTAGGTGGAATATAATTTCTACTTTTAAAATTTAGTTAACGGTTAAATGGCATTCAACATGAATGAATCACAGTCCACCATTAATTCAAATCTGTGTGGTAGATCTCAGAGCATTTTGGAATATTGTTCAGTTACTGCTACATACATTTTTTGAAAATTGGTGCAATAAAATGCTGCACTACACAGACTCCTCACCTGCCATTGACATTATTCTAAAACAATTCTTTGAAAAAAATGGAATGGATTCCCCACCTCTCCATTGCAAAGTGCTGGTATGCCTTCCTATCTGAACTAAAACTTTCCCAAGGGCAAAGTTTTAGAGTCCTCTTAATAGTACGTGAGCCAAATTTGCTTCCAAGTTTTTTCAGGAATGGAAAAATATACAACTGCTAGCTACCTCTTTGAGATAATACATGGATTTTGTACCAAAAAGACAATAACAACAAACAATAGGCATGCCATTTAATTTCTAAGCAATATTTTCCAATATTTCTGCTTTTTTCAGGTCTCAATCTGTGGTGGAACCCGGAATACTAAAACATGAAGAACAGCATGTGAATGAGAACACCCAGCCACTACTAGCTCTAGACTGAGATTGAAATCCCTGCGAAATACAGCTGTATCCTCAGAATTCAGTGGTCCACAATCCTCTTGAAGCAAAAGACAGGTTTAATACACATTAATGTGCATTCAGCTTAAAAAAAACCCAAGCACTCCATCTTTGTGGAGCAAGTAATGATTATCACCAGCCATGTGTCTGTGTCCAAAGCCAGAGGTAAAAGATTCCTTGTGGCTCAGAATAATAAGTGAACAAGTCTGATTGTAAAACAATTTTTTAAAAGAGTGAATTATATTAATAATGTCTGAAATACAGATTGCTTTTAGAGATCTGTCACTGAAATATGGGATCCATCGAAGTTCCCTCATATTGTTTAGGCAGAGATTTACAGTTTTGTTTAAATAAAAATTAGAGAGGCATGCATGCCTGTGCATATGCACATAAATATGTATTTACACAGCCACTTTAAAAATGTCTTGAGTTTAAGTATTGCGGTAAGAAGCCAACCTTAGTTTGCAGCACAGAAATATCTTCTAATTATCTCCCATCATCACTACCAGCATGGTATCAGTCATGTTTACTAGGCATAATAGAAATTGTAATCTAATCTTTTTGGAGGGCACCCAACTGGGAAAAGCACATGTGAAATACATGCACATACAAGTAGGTGTCTTGAATGTCTTGGGAGATTAATATTCCAATTGAGGATTTTTTGTTTAGGTCAGTTGAGTTCAGTAGAATTCCCTAAGTATATTTTCTCCTGCAATCAGTTAAAGATATAGCTTGGGATCAGTTATTGAATATACTATCATTAGAAAAAAGCAGAACAAATCATAAAATACCCAGAGATCAAAAGCCAAAGAACAGGTTGCTATTCTAGATTTTGTTCTGTTTGGGGACCCATCCAATTCCAATAAAGAAATAAAAACAAACACTATTTTTTTTTACAAATCAGCTGTACCAACATTTTTATTGTGAATTTATTTCTTCAAATACAGTAAATGCTTTAATTGCATATCACAATATGACATAGCAGTATTTAGCCATCCTTAATCAGAGAACAATTAAGCCATATTCATAGAGAGGCTTAATCACCATCAACCAAGGATGGCTATACAACTCCTAAGTGGTGCTCCGAAGTAATGATGTTTTTCAATGGTGGCCATATATGATGAATCAAATCAAGTTGCTATCAAGTATCTTTAGTGGGGAATTAATCTTTTAGAAACTGACTAATCTATAGTGCTAAAAATGTTGCTTGTACATTTTTCTGCAGAGATAATATAATTTAATTACCTTTTCTATTGTTCCAGACCTGAGTATGACTTACTTTCTTCTATGAAATCAGTTAATGCTAAATCAGTCCTTTCTTCTAAGTGAAATACAGGGTCTCTGTTCATAAAGAAAGCTTACTCTGGACCACAGCTTGTTCTGGTCAATTTTTTTTTTTTGCCATGGAGCCAACAATGAAAACTGTTAATCATAAACAAACGAGTTTTTAACCAATGTATGGTTTAGGGAATGTGCTGCACTTATGTTTCAGTAGGATTTCATACCCTCCAAAAACAATGACCAGATGCATTGTAAATTTTGGAGAAAAAAAAAGACTGCAACAAGCATTAAAATATTATCTAAAGATCTGTGTAATTTATTATCATACTGAAAGAATATTTGGCACTTTTTTTTTCACTCACCATTCACCACCCCCATGAATGTTTCTTGCTTTCAGTGGGTTTTGCACACTAATTGATTAAATCCACCTGTTTTAGCTGTTTTCACATTTTTCCGTGCCACATGGGTTAGGGTTATTGCTATTGATCAATGTTTGACAGTTAGCTCTGTAAATTTATATAGCCATTCAATAATCACAAGAAGGATATTGTACCAATTGATTATGCCTGAGGTGGACAAAAATAGTTGGACATGAGATTTTAATGTTTATGGGTGGCCAAAACAAAGAAACAAGAGTCAAACATCTTATTGGTGTGTTATATATAAAATCCACTGACATCCAAGTTAGCAATTTCAACTCAGCTAATAAATCCTGAAATTGTGAAGTAAATAAGCCTGTGTGTAGATTATAATATACTTTGAAAATATCACAGGAACATCTTTGCTAAAGAATCTTGATATTACAAGAGTTGAGAATGAATAAGCCTTAAGTCTACAGTTCTACAGTGCATCACTTTTTAAATATGCTTCTTCCAGTAACAAAGAGTATAATATATATATATATATATATGTGTGTGTGTATAATATATATGGTTGAAAAAAGTCAAAATTGAAACATGTATACCCTGTGCAATATGCTCTGCAGTTAAGGATTGCTAGCAGCTGTAGTTCAAGGAAATTGTGCTTTGCTTCATTGCTAAGCCAAAACTCAGATTTGATACCAGAACAGAATATGATGCAGGTGTTAGGACAATAAAATTATTTGGAAACAATGCTTTGGGCTTCACCAAAGTATGAACCTTGAGCCTTTATATATTTATTAATGCAAGTGTTCCCAAAATTTCTGCCCCAGAATTAAAAATGGTGCAGTTACTCTTTTAACGCATTAGTTCATGAGGAATCCTGAAAGAAAGAGGCCCTGCATCAATTAATATGATAGAGATGATGGTCTTGTTCCTCATAAGATCCAGAGTTCCTCTTTAAAGGATACACAGCCCTAGGGCATATGTGTCTCTGTGTGCATCTGTACACCCATGTACATATACATGCAGCCATATACTAGTTTTGAAAGCTCTTGAATTTAAGGCACAGAAAGGCTTACCATAAGCACTCTTAAATTTTGAGATATCATCCTAAAATGATAATGAATGTGTATGAGACCCCCTTCCAGGGATTAAACTAATAATTTTATTTTGATTAAGGTTGGACATGAAATACATATGGGATCTATCTATGGAGATTCTCAGTCATCTAGGTCATGGAAAAAGCAGCTTTGGGATAAAAATGGAATCGTTGGTAATTTCTGAGCTTGATTGTTTGCTTATAGACGAATCATACTGATGATGTTTTTTAGTTGGGTAAGGAAACTTCTGCCAGCAAACCAGGCTCAGAGTGCCAAGAATTCCACAGCTCCATCCTGAGTTATAGACATCTTTTCTATAAAATAGACTATTTGTAACAATTGAATTACAAATTATATATCAAAAAGCAAGGATAGAATCTTGCAACTTTACTACATAAAATGTTTTATTTGAAATTTAAAAAAATCAAATGGAAGTTTATCTTTTTTTAATGGGAAGGACACATAAATTTGCTCCATTTTGCATAATCCCTGAAATCAGTCCTGCATATTCATGAGGGGCACCTTTTGTTTTCTGTCCATCGTTTACTTTTGGCCCATATTGGTTTTTTATAGTAGCAATAAAACCAAACTAAAAGGGTGCTTCAAATGTTAATTAGTAGATTGGGTATAATTAGCTTTTTGCTTTCTATATCTATCTTCCCCACAAATCCATTGTGAAAGACCAGTCATTTAAAATAATAAAAAAAAATACTGAAATTCAGTAACTTGAATACTTTTACAGGCATTCCAAAGAAACAGGTACACTACTGTTCGGCTGCTACCAGTTCTACAATAGATATACTATTTGTTTGCCAGAGATGCCAGAGACACAAGAATATTTCTAAGAGAAGTCAAACAATATAATTTTCTATAACAATTTTATATAAATAATTAAAAAGAAGAAGTATTGTAAGCAGTTTACACAGTCCTTGTGCTTGTGATAAGAAAAAGAGGCACCTGGAAAATGGATTTATACATTTTTAGTATTGAAAAGTCTGAGCATGAATATCAAGCCTCAGACAATATATATTATTTCAACACTGGTACTCCTTAAAATGTTTCCAACCCTCAGTTTCACAACTTTTGCCATTGCAAATAACAAACAACAATCACAGCGGATTAAGAGATTATTCAATCTATGAAATGCTGTATTTTGCTCAAATTTCCAGGAGCACATGTTGGATTTTGAAGACCTATATTTGGAATGTGTACCTTGGCACATTTCTGTACATAAAATTACACCAATACTGCACCTTTTGGCAATGAGCAATTAATTGCTTATAACTAGTCTTAGTGAACATAATTTGAAACATCTATACAACGCTGTTTATTGCATCACAGAGCTATTTTACTAAATCAAATAGGAATGTAAAAGTTGTATAGTGGCTCCAAAAAAGACAGAACAGGTTCAAAAGTTGGCACTGATAGATTGAATGAAAATGAATCATTAAAACAATTTCATGATCATTCATAATGGGAAAACCATGTAGATATCACTTAACAGAACTATATTTATATGTTATTTTTTTGTCTTACTTTCATATAGGATATGAAATTGGCTGTAATTGAGAACAAAATGTTACAAATGGCTCTGGATATTAATTATTTCTTATTCAGGCTTTAGATTATGAAGTTTTTTAAATTGCATTAAAAAGTTGGTTTTTTTTAAAAAAAAAAACCTGCATTAAAATGTTGGTGACAAAAATTGTAGCCCAAAGCCTCTATCTACTTCACCAAAGCTTAAAAAATATTTTTATATTATAAAAAATTAGAAATAAACACAAATATCAAAGTTGGGTAAAATTTGCTCTTATCTAGAATTGGGCAAAGGAAATGTTTATTCATCCTTTGACTTGGAAGGAAAAAGTCACCCTTGGTAAAATAGATTGCTGCTGTTATAAGGCTCCATTGTTTCTAAATTAATATAAAAAGGGAACTTAAAGAAAATTACACAAGGAAAGTGATTCAAAGAGAACAGAAAAAGTATCCATATACTGTATCTGATGGAAAAATGTAATTATCTATCAAAAATAAGATACAAAACCACCTGTTCATCTTATCTACAGCTCACCCTATAAATCCACTGGACAAAACTGAAGTAGAATTATAAAAGATAAGAATAATAAATTTTCATACTGTTCTAAAGTTCTAATGGTTGCTTTTATTATAGGAGAGGTGGATATAGCGCTTGAGGACACAATCCACTGAATACTGTTTCTGAATAACCTTCTCATAATGATCAGAAATTGCACAATAATAGTATCTGGAAGTCTGCATTCCTTATTATTACATTCAGGCTTTTGAAGGTGGCTTTTACGTCAAGGAGTTCCAAAATACATACAGTATAAAAGAAAAGTCTGGCACAAGTTTTCTTTCAAAACGTAGCACAGGATGTTCTTTGGCTGATAAAAGCATAGAATTCCAACTTTCAGCATGAATACAGAGCATTCAGATCAGTGCTGAAATGGGGATGGTACACAGAACAGGATGCCTTAAAATCCTTACACATTCTTGATACAGTTCCATTTTATTTTTGTTGTCCTTCTCAGCACACAATGTGAAGCTCAAAAGGGAAAAACCTCAAGCCCACTTAAATAGCTGGTAAGGTGCGTCGCTGTTGTGATGTTAACTCTGGATGCCAGACATCCACAATGAATATCAGCCGATAAGCATCAGCATCCTGCCACACTTCATGTTCAAAAGAATCATCAAAAATGAGAATCTTCCCTTCTTCCCAGAATCTGAAAGAGAAAACAAATTATATTTTACTTGCTGCCTATGAGAACTCAAAACTTTCCCAATAGTATCTACATTCTGGATGCAAAATCTAGCTGATTAAAGTTACCAGGTTTATCAGGTATTTACCAGGTATTCTTTGACTTACAACCATTTGTTTAGTGATTGTTTGAACCTATGATAGCACTGAAAAAAACTGACTTCTGACCTCACACTTAACAAGTGCCGCAGTGTCTCCATGGTTGCATGATTAAAATTTGGGCACTTGGTAACCAACGTATATTTATTACAGTTACATAATCCTGGACTCACATTACTGCCATTCATATTCCTATCCGGCTTCCAATGAGCAAAGTCAATGGGGGAAGTTGGATATTCTTAATGACCATGTAATTCACTTAACAATCAGAGTGATTCACTTAACAGGCATGGCAAAAAGATCATAAAATCAAATATGACTCACTTAACAACTGCCTCACTTCAAAACAGATGTTCCAGTCACAATTGTGTTTTAAGTTGAGGATTACCTATAGTTATTATTTCTTTCATTCCACCAGGTGAAAAACTGATAACCTTGATGGAAGCCAAGCTGCTTATATTGACCCAGAGGCTTTCACAGAAAAATGTACTATGTGTACTATTTCTTCACAAGGAAAAAAAAAAAAATCTGAGATAGTATTTGATACTATGTCTTATTCCTTTGAATTTTTTTTCCACTTCCAAATGTGCAAAGATTTTCAAACTGTAGTCCACAAGTCTCATCTACTGAAGCACTATGGAATAATAGGTAAGGAAATAAAGGCAATGTGGGAGATGCACATTAGAAAAAGGAAGGAACTATAATACCGTGTGAAATAATACAACCATTTTTGAAGTTGCTGAACATTCAAACAGATATTATAGTGAGAGCAGCTGAAACAACCAATCAAGACTAGGCAAGACAAAATTGTAAGGTATACTACAAAGATTTCAACTCATTCACATTATGTAGAGATGAAATGGGAGATGTTTCAGCTGTTAAGTGACACTAAACTGCCATAAATATTACCTCTCATTTCTTGGGCTGGCTTTTAGTCATGAATTAAGAACAGTAATCCAAAAAGGAAAGGGTTTTTTTTGTTCTATGCCACTAGACACCAGCAATTTGAAGAACCTAATATTGGTGTTCTCACAATTTGACCAATCATATAATTCCGATTTATATCCATGCATATGCATGTATGTCAAAACAGTCAAGAAGCTAGCTGCAATTGTGTGATTGAAATTCTACTCTCTTTTTTACATTCATTGCAACTGTACACTGCACTTACAAAGGAGCAGGACTCTGATCACACTTTTGCAGCTGCCATATTGAATTTTTTGACCTGCTAACTATGGATCCCCCTACTTTTCACAATGTCATCATCACAGCTTCTTAGGATACTCTTTACCTTCCCAACTCAATTTCACCTTTTTTAAAGGAGGGGAGGAGCGATCAGTGGGCATCCATGCAAAGAAAAGTTTGGATTGCAGCCATATACCATAGCTTTGTTATAAACAGTTAAAAGGCTAAACGCTGTGCTTCACTTTGCTACATCAAATTGTTTTTATTGATAAGGCCTCAAAATCATATGATACTCAGATGAAGTAGGGCCTTGGATGATGCCAAATTCAATCCCTGTGTAGATATTGTTAAGTACAGATACCATAATATATAGCCCCAATTAGGTGGAGATATGCAGGATTCTAAGCAATATGTCTTACTGCTCTCTATGATGGTTCTTTGCTAGCTTAGCTTACAACGGAGATGCTTCTCTTGCCTTTCATACCATCTCTTAGTATCCTAGTTCTTGACACTCTAGAAAAAATGTTGTGAGGAGTGGAAAAGATACCTGGTTTCTTGAGCACACCGTATCCTGCAGCCTTCTTTAGGAATGACCAAGCCTAAATGCATCCTCAGCCTACAGTTAGTGGGCCCTGTGTGAGGCCAGACATGAGTCCCTGGGTGCATGACAGAATATTTGATCTGCAAAAAGATGTACAGTTGATTTTAAAAAACTCATGTCAATTATGTCAAGAAATTCTAGAAATATACTATATCTAGTTGAATCCAACCAAAATGATCAAATTTATGTTAGGATCCCTACCTGCAGTTTTTAAGTAATTTACTGGTGAACAGCATTATGGATGAAAATTAATTTCAGCTACTCATACTACACAATAGCATCTTAATTAAAATTGAGTCTCCTAGAACTATTCTAATTGTATTTAATTATCATACATACATTATATGTTTTTATATATATGTCATTGAATGTCTATTGTGGATTATATTTTCACTTTAAAAATAGTGATGTAAATATATATACGCATACTCTAAAGGCTTTATTTGCATGTATTAATCACAGTTGAGAGAGACATAAATGTCTTAATTTTCTCCACTCGTCTCATATAACTAACAAGAAGTTTTAATTTCAAATTTCAAACTATAATTAGTGATTATACATTAAAGGGTCAAGACAATTTCCAATCAGACTTGATTCTAGGTGATTTCACAGCAGCAATATAGAAATGATTTGCCTCTATTTTTTTCTAGTCTAGCCAACAGCTGGAATTGTCTTGTGATCTCCCTCCAAATACAAATGAAGACCAACTCTACTTAGTATTTTTTTAACCTCAACTGAGGATATTTAAGTGTTATTATCTGTTGTACATGATTAAACAATTTGTTAACTTATTTCTGAAGCTGAATCATATTGTTGGCATTAAACACAATTCCAGAAGCAGATCAGAAAGTAATTCAATCAAATCAGTTTATGGTCAGCACATTTTTTTTATAAATAAACAATTATGTTAGTATAATCCTATTTGAAATAAACTTGATTTTAGCCATGCTATGCATAATGTAAAGATTTGCATCTCCAAAATTAGTTGTATCTCTTTATCAATTGTACCTATTGACAACTGTGACAAACAATTACAGTCCTGTTTTCAATCCTAGACTGTAGAAAAATACATCATTGCATCATTTGTTATAACAAATATCATGCTGACTCACTCATAAACATTCAGCAAAGATAAACTGGAAAGGCAGAGACTTCATTTGTCTCCAGACAGAACCAATTAATAATTAATTATCATGTTCTTCTTAATATTTTTGTAAGTCATACTTACAAATATACATCTACATCTACTCCTGCCCCCCTTCCAATATATACAGTATAAGGACTGTAAAGAGAACTTTAAATTATTTATTTATTCAATTTGTATGGTCACCCATCTCAAATCCATGATTCTGGGTAGCTAACAACAGCTGAAAGTGCCATAAAACATATAAAAGTAACCCTCCGCCTCGTGTAATCAGCTGAGTAAAAATAAAACCATCACCAACAAATCAACGTAATAGATTCTGTGACACATCTGGATCCTGAAGCTTGATGACAAAACTATGTCTTTAAGACCAGCAGCATTAGGATCAATCTAATCTCGGACAGCTGTGTGTGTGTGTGTGGATTTGAAAGGCAGCATGTGATTCAGAGCACACATGGCTGCAAATGCAGCTGCTAAAAGCAGCTGACGCTCCTCAGCTCACTTGGCTGCCTTCTGCAGTGAATATGCAATCCAAGGAAAAGACCCACTTTAAGATGTTCAGAACAGGTGCTGTTTGCAAGCAAACATGTCCTCTGAATCACACTTTGCCCTTTGAAGTTGAATAGTTGCCCACTATACATAGATACTTCTTCATATCTATCTATGGACTTGTTCTACAAACCAGACAGTACCTGCCCTCTTCGGCATCCAGTGGCATCTGAGAAATGTTCTAATAAGGCACATGTTTTTGGAACACTGTTGCAGGCATTCTCATTTTTTCTTCCTAGAGCGAAACAGGAAAAATATAGTTTAAACATAAGTAATCTGAATTTCACACCCCCAAATCTAAGTATAGTCATACAGGAGATTTGAAAATGTCAACTCAGTAGGCGCTTGAAAGAGATTTAGAAGTGTAATCATCCAAAAATCCAGTGGTGATTAACTCTAATTGAATTGGTCTTCATACTTAATTATAGAAGTGGAATACTTTTGTATTTCTTTTTATGTAGAATGTAACTCATAACTCCCAATTATTCCAATTAGTATCCATCTAAAAAAGGGATGGATAACTTTTTTCTTTGAAAATAATTTTGCTTAGGGAATAAATGGCACAGATTTAACATTAGGCTGTCTACTATTTTATATGATATTTTGTGATATCTATCGATATTTCATAATAAATCTTCACTGATCCCAGAGAAAATCATTGCATACTCCTCACATACTCCAGCTTTTATTGAATTGAGAGGGAAGCATTATAGAGCTATTTGGATATTGCATAAAATCTAGTTACAGGGTCAAAAATACATAAGAACAAAGTTCCCTGAGTAACTTTGGTTCAATTATGCTCTCCCTTCCATGGTGTCTCTTACCGGCTAATATATCTTGGTTGGTGTTGTGAAAGAGGTGTTGTTCCCTAAGGAAATCCAAAGAAAGATTTCGTAAAAATATAAGTGAAATTCTGTGTCTCTTTATAATAGTGGTGATGGGTTCATGATTTGCAGAACATTAATTTTCTAAACTGAATATTATGACCAACTGAAAGAAAGTTTTTGTAGCTAGAGAGCTACAGAAGGAAAAGCAATTTTATTATTTTCCAGCACCAAAATACATTTTATACAGCATCCCATTTTTACATTACCCTGATAGGTATATATTGCCTCATTCTAATCATAAATGACAAAATTGCATCTCACTTGTAAGAAGAAAATATCTCTTTTTTGCCAGCTTTCTATATAAGCAAGCATAAGCTTTCTACCTAGGAGAAATGCAAAACTATACCTTGCAGATAAATAAAGAAATGAGGATTTCTTTAAAAAAAAAAAAAAAACTAGAGCACCTTTTAAATCTTTTTAAAGCTACATAAAGTAGCATGCTAAAAACACAGAAATAATTCTGGGAAGTGCCCTGAAGTCATTCAGTCTTGTCCTCTTTCTCACTCCCTTGCCTCTCCCCTTCAAACATGAAACCAAGACTCCACTACCAGTTTCAAGTGGAACTCTTTATTTTACTTAGACTTTGATAAAAAGTTCAAAAAAAGAAGCTTTCCTTTTATGTGAGTCTTTCCAAGAGCTAAAATAATTTACATGTGGCTCATGAACAGATTTCCAGCCAGGCAATGATCAGGCTTTTACCTGTTTAGCTTATATTAAGTATGGTCGTGCACACTTCAAAAACAATTTAGAAGAATTAAGAATTATCTTCTTAATGTACTAACATTTTTCTTCAGGCTTGGATGAAAGTCTGAAAAAAAAAACATTCTTCTTCAGGAATAGGGGTGCTGTTCTTGTATTATTTGTGGGCAGTCTGATATAATTCTTCTCAATCATTTAAAGTGTCACAGTTTTAACATTAAGTGCCCCGATGTTCATTCCCCCCAACGCCAGAATTCCTCCACAATCTCAAAATAGGTCAATTACAATTTTGTTTTCTCAAAATGAATATGTTTTTTTCACTAGATTTAGTTAGTTGATGTTTTTATTCTCTCTTTTTTTTCTGTAGGTATTATGTGCTATGAATGTAGTTGGAACCTAACTTTTGTTCTGTGAATAGGAATGATTTTGCATACATGGAAGAAATGTTCCCATTTTCCTCTTCCCATTAAAATCTTTATTTCACATGTTTAGGATCCTCCAAGGTCATGGAACTCTTCTTGGAAGGAAGAGTTTTGGTAATAGCTCTCCTCTTTTACATGAAGAACAATAAAGAGTTCAAATCATTACATTTATTTTATTATGCATATTTTATTAGCTTACCACTGGCTGCTCTGATGTTTAGTAAGGAAAGACAGAATATAATATGCTATATTTCACCCACTAAATAACTCGGTTAGTTAGTTAGTTGGAATCCAGTTCTTGTGGTTGCATGAGGAAATGATCACCAATTTGTCCAGATTTTTGAAGCTTTTCTAAAAAACAACTCTATGTTCTTTTAATCTCAACCATCCACCTTCTTTCTCAGCTTTGCCAAGAACAGCCTGCTTGTATCACATATCTATAGTATGTGAATTTCTTCTTCCTAATCTCAAGGGAACACTGAGCCTTTATTTGGTCCATAATTGGATATTTTTGGAGCCTATGATATTCTTATTAATCTTCTTCTCATCAATAATTTAAACATTATCTTCTTTCTCAGTGCCTAACTTTCACAGCTAATCATTGGCATAGCTGGAAAGACCACTTTTTAAAGTATTCTGATCTTTATTGCACGATAAGAATCTTTATTTTTCATTATTTTGTTTGTCATTGTCTTCCTTTCTAGGACTAGATTATATTTTTCCTGAACATGTTTCATTTTTTTAATCTTATCTTTTTAAATAAATTATCTATCTTTTTGACTTCATTAATTAAGCCACGACATTCTGTTTCTCCCTAATATTTAATATTAACCCAGATTTCTCATTTTCCATTTTTACATTCATAACATAAGACAAAGGCTTTGATGTCTCCTTTGCTTTTATTTAACAAAATTAGGTTATCTGCATACTTCAGAATATTAGGGTTTCAGCCTCTCAATTATTTTCAATTATTGGTTTTCGAGCTTAGGAAATTCCTGGATGTCAATCCATATCTATGAGAACTTATGCTTGCAGTATTTCACTTCTGAAATGTGATATATTGCTCAAAGTGTAATAGTCCATTTCTGTTTTAAAGTTCCTTCATAAGGTCTTTCATTGTGGGCAGTATATTTCTTGCAGTTTTTTTTGAAATTCAAAGTATTAATTAACATGTAGAGCAGAAAGTATATTATAACTCTAACCAGTAAAATATTACCAAGCATCCATGCCAATTTACTTTATGCAGGCAAAGCCACTAAACAATTAAAAAAGTGGCAATAGACATAAACACACAAAGACTCCTTTAGTTAAATATTGTATCAGCACACTATTTCAGACTTTTCCTTTTGGCCTTCCTTTTGCGTCCACATCAGTATATACAGACTAAGGTTCTTCTTTACACATGATGGATATTAAGATTAAAATCTTTGGTCTCTAAAGGTGTTAATGAAGATCTTAGTTTGACAAGTACTATGATCATTTTGTCATTCAATACTTAGATAACAGATATATTATTTATTTTTAACATTTAGAGTTTGGCAGTATAATTTTTAAAAATTATTTTATTATTTATAGGGTTATTCTCAAACAATATTTGTACTCCATTTCCAGAAATTACATACATGCTATACATGAATTGTTCCTCTCTTTGTGTAATTAATGAGCCATTATTTAGTTTGAGTGCATCTTTGCTTTAAATATCATTTCACAGCACTCAGTGGGTTATATTATTGCTTTTTAATCAGTGGCTCATCATGGGAAATGTTACATGTTTGTTTAATCTTTAGAACAGAGTTGTATGTTTATATACTTGTATAATTGGAAACATTTTTATATTATTGCCAAGAATGGGGTAATAGTATTGTATTATTGATTTTATTTTGCTGAACTTTTCTAATTTATTTGCATTTACTGAGAGATACACACACATATATATATATATGAAGAAAATTTTTATTTCTGTTTTAATTTATTAATATTGGTTTTCTTTTTAGCTTTTGCTTTATTTTATAAAATTCCATCATTGTCCCTGTTCAATTCCAGAGTATCTAGTGTTTTATTTCCATGTGTTATTGTCCTATTCATGTGTAGCATAACATTGATAGATATATTATAAAGAAGCAAATGCAAATCTATTTCTTTTATTCTCTTGAATTATTAACCATATGTTAACTACCTGTTAACTCCTTTGCATTTTTTGAAACTTACCTGCTTTTGAAATTCACTCTATATACTGCTCCATTTCTGTTTGTAAGAACTTAGCCCAAACTTTCTTTGTGTGAGAAATTAGTTTATTGACATTCTCCTGCATTTTCCTTCTTGAGTATAGCTGTATGCATTATTTTGTAATCTCTACGCCATACAATCTTTTTTCCATATTTGTTGAGATGTAGCTATGTACAGTTTAACTCCCTTCTGCAGCTTTAAAAAATTCAACAGATACTTCATCGGTATCTTATACTTCCTATTTGGCTTGGTTTATTACTATAAATCTCTCTAGAGAAGTTAATTCCTGAATAAATTATCTTTCTTGGCAAAAGTTTTGATAATTTTATAATCCTATTTGTAAGAGAACTCAGTATAGTCTTTTCAACTTTTTCCTTTCTTTTAATACATTTAGTTTAATTGCCTCTATTTCTGCTTAAGTATTTCTGCCTTACATAACTGGTAGACACTATAATCAAATTAAAATTACATTGTATTTATGACAGCGGCTCCCAGTCCCTGGTCTGTGGACTAGTACCATTCTGTGTCCTAGTGGGAACTGGGCCGTGCAAGCGGCAGGCGAGTGCGCAAAACTCCATTTGTGCATGTGCTGGATTAGATTGTGTATGTGAAACCATCCCACACACATTGCCACTGCTTGGGAACCACTAAATTATGACATAAGTATATAGGATTGCTGGACTCCATCCATGTTACCGTAGCTCTAAATTTTTTGAATTTTTTTATATCAGCTTAAACATATTTTGTAACCTTTTTTTATTATTGTCCTAATTTTGTTGACAGTGATTGAAAGCATGCTTAGTTCTGAGTTTCTTTTTGTTGTTGTTGTTAGTTGTGAAGTCATGTCAACCCATCGTGACTCCATGGACAACGTTCTTCCAGGTCTTCCTATCCTCTACCATCTTCTGGAATCTATTTAAGCTCATGCCTACTGCTTCAGTGACTCCCTCCAGCCACCTCATTCTCTGTCATCTCCTTCTATTGGCCTCAATCTTTCCCAGCATTAGGCTCTTCTCCAGTGAGTCCTTCCTTCTCATTAGGTGGACAAAGTACTTGAGTTTCAACTTCAGAATCTGGCCTTCCAAAGAGCAGTCAGGGTTGATGTCCTCTAGGACTGACTGGTTTGATCGCCTTGCAGTCCAAGGGACTCGCAGGAGTCTTCTCCAGCACCATAGTTCAAAGGCCTCAATTCTTTTGTGCTCAGCCTTTCTTATGGTCCAACTGAATCTCTTTTATGAAATTGTAAATATTTATAGTTTGTTATTTATCTCAAATATCCCCTACATAAGAATAACTATGCTAAGAATAATAAAAATAGTAATTCATATGCTCTGAGTCAATTTACAGTTAAGTAAATGTAAAAACCCTACTCTCCCTTCATGAGGATTTCAATGATATTGTCCTCTTTTGGGAAGAAATAAAAATATTTCTTTAAATTGAATATGAAATAATAGTAAAAATGAAAAAAAAAGTTTTTGCTCAAGTCTGCTAATAATGGTAAGAGCAGCATGGATCCATGAAGAGCATCTTTTCCTCCCAGAAAAAAATAGGGATGGCATTTCAATATTCACAATCTTGATCTTTAGCATCACAACACATATTTTCCCTTTAACATTTCAGTTGTTTTGTTTTGGTAGCATGGAAAGGGAACAATGGAAGAGACAAGAAAAGTAATGAGTTGTGTACCTTGCTGCCACAGAGTAAACTGGCTCCAGTCACCCTTTTCTCGTAAATTTTCATCTTCTGGAAGAAAGAGGCCCTTGCTTCTATCCATTACAGCAAGTCCTTCATCCCGGATCACTTTCCAGTTTTTTTCTAAGGACTAACAGGAAAAAACATCACGTACATTGCATATGCTTTTAACTAATTCTCCTCAAAAATAAATATAGCCTCATCTGTCACAAAGCTTCCCATAGTTTCTCATTTTCAATTACTTTTGTATCATAATTATTCCAATAATATCAAATACTTACCAGAATAGCTTTCACTTTCATTTGCTTTTGATTTACCTAAGAAAGGGGTTACTTGGGGGGCAATCCAATAATATGATAATCATTCAAATTTATGTTTTAACCAATGATGCAGAAGAAAAAGATTGGATTTTCTGATCAAGTCCAATTTGAAATCAACAGAACATGCAAGCAAGATGTGCTGGTTGTGATTGGTGATTGGAATGCCAAAGTTGGAAACATGAAAAAGGAAAATGTAGTTGGATTTTATGGGTTAGGAAACTGATAAAATAAAATAAATATATTTAACATGAGCCTGAAGCAGGAATCTGACATACTAAATTATGCCAATCTAGTGATTTCTTTGTAGCTAGCATTGTCTTTAAACAACCAAAACTGTTGTCTCCAAAGGACTTCTTCAAATCTACTATAGCATTGCTAAAAGGTGAAGAAGTTCATTTATAGCATCAAATACATGGCCAAGTATGACTGTGGATGAGATCATGAACTGCATGAACAGACTTAATCATAATGAGTGGTACCTGGCTCAATAGTAGAAACTGTGAGAACTTGGAGTCCTAGTAAACAATTACTTAAATATGAGCCAGCAGTGTGCTGCAGCTAACAAAAAAACCAACACAGTCCTAGGCTGTAACAAAGAGTATTAGGAGACTGGAGGCTAAAACATATTAACAACAGTTACAGGAATTGGCTTTGTTTAGTTTAATCAGAGTGAAAAAAAGGACTCAGAGTGACATGATAGCAATGTTCCCATATCTAAGGGGTACCACAAAGAAAAGGGAAAAGCAAAAAAGGCAAAACAAGAATCAATGCATGGAAACTAATCGAGAGAACCATCTAGAACTCAGAAGAAATTTCCTGACAGAACAATTAATTAGTAGAACAACTTGACTACAGAAGTTGTGAATGCTCCCATCCTGAAAGTTTTAAAGAAGAGATTGGATAGCCATTTGTCTGAAATGGTATAGGGTCTCCTTGAGCAGGGAATTGGACTAGAAGATCTCCAAGATCCCTTGCAACTCTGTTATTCTATTACTACTATTGAGCCAGGTACCACTGATTATGATTTAGTCTTTCCATGTGTTTAAACATGCTGACTGTTTAAATTCATCAATAGCTATTACTAATTACTGATTTGTTGGAACAAATGACACAATCCACTCATGGTGCTACTGACACCAAAAAGTCAGCATATTGGACAGAAAGATAAAGGACTAATTTCATTCCTACCTTTTAAAAACATGCCCTAGGATCAGAAAGAAAAATAATTACTAGTTATGAAAATGGTACAAATGAAATAGTTTTAGATTCTTTTATCTTTATCTTTTATCTCATATTCTTTCAATATGAGACATATTTCTCAGATAAAGATTTCTTATTGTGTGGATTGTATTTGATTATGAGTAGTATTTTTACATACTATATAAAGTTAGAAAATAAATTTTTGATGCTGCAAAATTGGAAAGATTGATGTTTTTTTTTTTTTGCAAAACTGCAAATGATGAAGTGATACACTTGCAAATTTAGATTGCATGAACAACAAACTTGCCTACATTTCTTGGCATTAAAAATAACTGAAATAGAAGCATGAAGTCTTTTCAAAATTAATTAAAACATTATCTTTATTAAGCTTGTTGTTATTCTGTTTTGGCATATTTTGTTTGCAGCAAAAACAATGCTCCTAATTAGATTTTTTTTTGTTCAAAATTGTAATAAGTAACATGCAGAATATGATAGTTACAATACTCTTTTCTAATGATTCCACAACTTTGTTTATTGATTCCTTAGGCAACCTTCCAGTTATATTATCTATTTTAGGCACCTGACATATAATGTCAGTTAAGCCAAAATAGATATTTGCTGCAGCAGGAGCTTTTGCTGTTATTCACACAAAGCAGTAGAAATAGCAATAACACTTAGATTTACTGTATATACTGCTTCATAGTGCTTTACAGCCCTTTTTAAGCTGTTTACAGAGTCAGAATATTGTCCCTAACAATCTGGTCCTCATTTTGCCGACCTCGGAAGGATGGAAGGCTGAGTCAACCTTGAGTCATTCAGAGTCAAACTCCTGCAATACTGCATTCTAACCACTGCACCACCATGGCTAGATAAAATCAGTTGCCAGTGTTGCTTAAAGAGTAAATTGTTTTAACCACTGAATTATAGTATTCAATCACTGTATTATTTTATTATTATAGTCCAAGTATGTTACTTATATATTTCTTTTTTCATATAGTTTGCACATATAAGCTAGATCTGGCACAATAGATACCAGTGTTTCTGTAAACATCTCCCTTAGCGGTTACCAGGTTCTAAAACATTTAATTTTTAAAAATAATTTAAGGTGCAACTTAAACTAAGTTCTAGATTTCAGAAACCTCTTTATTTCTAGGAATGCCAGATTATACTTAGGCTTCATAAATATCTTTTGAACATAAACATTGGCTGTGACCTAATATATTGTTTCTAAATATGCCCGTAAAAATGATAATTATAATAATTGTAAAATATTGTTGATTTTTAATTGTTTTTAATTGATTTTATAATTCTTTTTATTATAAGGTGCCTAAAGTTATTTTATTGTGAGACTGATAAAAAGTAATAGTGAGAGGACTAAACAGTGTGATAGAAAGTAAATTCCCCAGTCTGCATAAACTAGACAAAGCCATACTTTTTATCTTATCTTTCATACTTGTAGTAAAACTAGAATATACATTTTCTTTAAAAAAACAAAAAAGCTCCCTGATTGCTTTTAAAATTCAGAATATCTGAATATTTCTGCTCATGCACAACCCCATTATTTTCTCATAGAATTATAGAATTGGAGGAAACTGTTTTGACTTTCTACCTTCTGCTTCTTGCAGAAATCCAAACAGAAGCATCTCTAGCAGAGGACCTTTCAAGCGCTGCTTGAACACATGAATGAAAGTCAATTTACCTACCTAGAAATTTTAACATAAATCTATGACAGGAGATGGAGATGTTTAAGAACATTTCAAACAGTCATAGGCAATTATATACAAAGGCTAGTGCAGAAGGGGGCTGGGGTTGTATTTCATTAATCAAATTGAATACCTGGTCATACTCAACCACTGTCCTCAGGAAGACAGATAGAAGGCTTTCTTGTTCAACTGATTTTTTTTGTCTTTGTGAGAATTATCCCCTTGTGTTTTATGTTTGTTTGTGTATGCATACTTTTTTTGTCATGTGAAACACCTGGAATGGGTATCTAAAAACTATCTATAATATAAATCACTTAACCCTATGCAAGAAGAATAGGAAACAGACTTCTTAAAGAGTCTGGTTTTTTTCCCCCATACCTCTCCCCCCTAAAGGATTTTGACTCTTTGCAAAGATTCAAAGGTTGGGTGCAGGTATTTATAAAATAGCAGGGAGATTCAAAGCCCAGGCTTTTTCAAATAGTTGTTGAAAATGCAACATCTCAGTTTCCAATAAACATCTTTATATATTTGTACAAGCAGACAAAAATGGATACGTAGCTACTGGAGAGAGAAATCATTACATCTGCAACCTTACGAACACTAGCCATATTAGATATGCAAATCAATTATCCTTACAAAAAATAACTTGTTTTTATAACTATTTCTTGAAAAGAACAGGAGGCTTACATATCCCTTAAATTACAAGAAATTAATTTACCAGAATGCCAGGCAATTTTCCAAAACATGATTAAAGAAGATTCACATACAGTAGCTGTCGATTACTGCTTTGAAGCAAACACCTATTGGTTCTGTCCTATCATCCTTTTCTACATGAAAATGTGTAATTATCTTTCCTCATTTCCAATCTTTAAATTTGCCATGCTTATAATATTAGATATCATCTGGGTGCCAAACTATGGTTAAACCCAAGCACTGAAACTTCCAAATCAAAGGTTTCTATTTAATTCAAAGAACTGTCAGCCCTTCTGCTATTTTCATTAAAATAAAATGAAACTAATAGTTGTAAATAGTTGTAAAGGTGTATTATGCAGCAACCTATGATGGGAAATACAGTAGAAAGGAGCCTTTGATTTTTTTTTTTCTTTTATGAACAACATTCCAAGAGGTCTAAACTGAGATGCTGGAGAACCACATTGAGTAGCATTCAGGAAAAAAAACAAAAGCATTTCTGTCTCTGATATTTTTCCTGCTGCTGGAAGGACAGAGTTTGTTCTGGCCTCACAGGACATCTGAGTTACTGCTGTAATAAATCCCCTGATCGTAAATCCAGCCAAACTTAAAAATACAAAAGTGAGCTCATTGGGAAAGCAGCATCTGAAGGACTAAGCAAAAGGATAAGTCTAGAGATGAGTCAGAGTCAAATGATGGAGGTGCTAGCGGGGATCAGACTTGTTTTTCTTCAACACTACCGTGCCTGATTCAACTATTTTCTAGCATTTCTGAGCATTCCTACACATCTGTTTTTCTGCAGCCAGCATTATTATCTAACACTGCATTGACTGTAATAAGAAGAATTTTTTTAAAAAAAAAAAACAATCACAATTCTCATACAGATAGAATTTAATGTGCATATGCAAATTAATTTCTCCTTAACTTTCTTTCACAAGGAAATCTGCTGAAAGTATCAGCTAAAAACAATAAGGAACTGGACTTCTAACATAAAAGAAAATTCTCTCCTAACATTTAAATACATCTTGCTCATGAAAATCAGATCATTTTGTTTTTAATCATCATTCCTCTCCCAAATAATGTGAGTATAGTTTTGTTACTAATACAGTTGGGAGAACCAGTTCCAGGTAAGCCTATCCTAGATATATAACAAGAATAAAACTTCCCCCAAATGATATTCTAAATATTAAGATTAATACTAGAGCAAATAAATTAAGGAACAGCAGTGCAATAATCATAAATACTTTTCTCATCTATCACAAGGACTATACACATTGCCAAGTTCTTTCAATCTGGCCTGATTTCTCAATTTATCCAGCTGATCTAATATTGCCTACCATACGCAATTAAATGTCCCACTGAAACCTTTAAGAGTTATGAGATCATGAGGAAACATAGATTGGTCTGTTATCCACTAATTACAACATTCAGCAATTAAAGGTTTGCCTCCAACTCAAGGGCCGAGCATGCAATTCATTGTATTTGCTACTTAACATACTTCTGCAATCTAATCCTCCCAATACATTGCTGTAAAGCAATTTCAGCTAGGAAGAAATAATTTAACTTCTAGTGAAGAAAGAAAAATAATTTTTTATCAGTTATAAGGGAGACTTGCCTGGGGCAGACTTATATTTTGAATGATTATTCAGGAATAGAAATACAGTAGTGAGAAATTAATCTGCTCTCATTTTAGTGCAAATCTATGTAACTAGATTCTAAATCAAAATCTTTTCTATTTATATCTTTGGCAATGTAACAGAAGAGAGCCAATTTGGTATAATCGTTAAGGCATCACACAAACTGGAAAACTGTGATTTCTACTTCTGCCTTAGGCACAAAGTCAGCTGGGTGATACTGGGCCAGTTTATTTTCTGTTAGTTCTAAGAAGGAAGCAATGGTAAACCACTTCTGAAAAGCCTCACCCAAAAACTACTTCTATGTTTGGCTTTATAAGGGGTTACATCCAAAGTCACATTTCTTAGAGGACGCCGGGCTTACGTTGTGTATGCAGGAGGCAGATGGAAGGAGATTCACCCAAGGAAAATATGCACACAACATTAGGTTTTTTTTTTTAAAAAAAATCACAGAAGAAGCATAAATTAAATTAGAGCAAACAAAAATAGAAATAAAAACACTGGTACCAAGATAGACACCGGAACTGACATACTCATTCAATTCTGTTTAGAAGTACGTTCCATTATATTCATTGGGTTTATTCTAAAATACACAGAGCAGCAATTTAAAATCAACTTAGTATAAAGTTTCTATGGAAGAACAACATCGCGCACCTTGATCAATTCGGTGTAACCAGTTTCCTTTGCTGTCCACCATGGCTGAGCTTTTAAGCCTTTGACATTATACAGAGAACGCTGCCAGACAGACGCAAAGTGACCCCGTTGGTACCCACGTTCATACCACTTGTAGGCCTAGAAGATTGAAATTTGACAGCATATTTTTCAATTGTTGCATTTCAACTGAAAAATTAAGTTAATAAGAAATAGAATAATTTAATCATTATTTCTGGCTTTCTAATGATACTTATTTCCCGCACAATAATAAAACATTAATATTAGTTATTAAAACTGAGATTATAATGTTGTTCATTAGAGCATAAAAACATTTACTCCATTGTATAGTTTAGCCAATACATTTTAATTCCATTTTTGAAATTATTGTCATTTATGAGAAAGCAATGTTAACCTGGACTGGAAAAAAATTATTTTTTACAAAATTAGTTCCAAATTATTACTGCAGTTCATATTCCCAAAATTTTATAATATCACTTTAACTGTCACTATATTTAATGAGTATTTATATAACTATATGAGTCAACTAGGAATGAGTGAACTTTGAGGCATTGATATAATAAATCCATGATCATATATAGAAGCTTTTGTTACCCATGAAGCAGCATTGGAAACAAAGGAACACAGGATTCAAAAAATCCAGAGGAACTGGTATGTCTATCATTGATGATCTGTAGCCAGGAAGAAATAAAAGAGGAAACAGAATTTCCTGCACTGTGGCCTCTAATTCTATTTGGAATAAAGAATAATGAAAAGCTAGATGATTTTCTCATTCTCCTGTTCAATCCATCTATACCCACATCTCCCCAATGTTCCCTATTTGCAACAATCCATACTTCCTATGCTTCATAATGTTTCTGAGGGCTCTCTATATCCTTTATGCCTCCTCTTCTGGCGAAACAAAGACAAGCAATACTCTGTTCTGAATAATGTTGTCAGAACCAAAAGAATGAATAGCAGTTATCTGGACTGGCATCAAATGTAAGAACTCCTTCATGTGGTTTTAACTGAAATGTCAAGCGTGAAAGGAAAAACTCTGCTTCTCTCTTGCAGACACTGCAAAGGGCTCTGAAAAGCCTCATCTTACACCACTTATTGAATAAGGAGGAGCTTATTTCTTATGCCAATTTTTATTGAATTTAAACCCCATCTTAACTATAATTATGGAAGGGGAGAAAAGATTTATGCTTCACTTCATCTCCATTACTGCTGATTTCCTTGAATTTACCAGGGTAATTTGAAGGTGAATTACATTATATTTTTTTTAAAGCATAGGATTCAGAAACCTTATGGTATAGGGTTCTATATTGTCTAGGGCATTGCTAGCATATTTGTCTAGAAGTATTTAAAACTATTTTTCAGACCTCTTTATTCATATGGTAAGATTGGAGTAGAGGGTCAGACCAGAAGCATACATTTCCAACAACTGCGGTTAAAAATGCTTGTATACATTTTGGCATTATATAGCTAAGAGCAGTTTAACTAATTCCATGCATTTAAAACCTTTATCCAGTTATGTAAAGTACTCATTTGGAAGTAAACTTTCAAAACAACAATAGCTTAATTTTTAGTCCTGACTGAAAACTTAGGTATGAACATGTATCTTCAATAATTGGGATTACAAATGCTTGGGTACTGATTTGTTTCTTTGATTAAATCCTGAATTTGAACATATTCAGGATTTTTTTCTGCTCATTCAGAACTGACTCACAGGGACAAATTCAGATGTTTTGCCCAAGGAAGATCATTTTTCATGAACCCTATTTTTGTTCCAAACTAGAGTATCCATTGAATAATATATACAATATAAATCACACTGAAAATTAATGAATATACAAAATCAGCAGAGCTTGATTGCCTGATTTGTCAGTGTTCATAACAGGAGATAATTTGAGCCAGATACTACTGATTTGTGGGAAGCTTCAGAGATAAATACTCTTCTCCCATCATTTAATATCTTCATAAGATGACCTGAGTCAGATCATCCATCATTTTGGGGGCAGATATCCTCAGTATATCAATGATACTCAATAGTATTTCTTAGCCATGGGCTGGCCAAATGATGCTGTTGAAGTCAAATCCCAGTGCTTGGTGGCTCTGAGGATTTGGATGAAAAGGAACAAACTCAGTAAGACTGAGTAACAGTGCATGTTTGGGCCCAGATATGAAAGATCTTTCCTCTTTGGGTTTTAATGGAATTGCAGAATCCAGGATGAGTCTGGCATGCAATCTGTAGGTCCTTCTGAACTCACACTTCTTTGAACAGCACACTGCAGCAGGTGGCCAGGAAGACCTTTGCATACTGTAGATTCTCTTGCACATCAAGGGTGCCCTTTTCTGGATTAATAGTCATTCATACCTTAATCAGCTTGTGGTTGGACTGCAATCTACATAGAGCTTTCCCTGAAAACCAGGTGTAGTTGGTCCAAAATCTAATGGAACAAATAGTAATGTGCAGGCCATATTATGTTTATATAATGTCCATGCTTTGTGGTTTGTACTGGTTGTCAATTGGATTCTAGATGCAATATGGCATGGGATAGATTATTTGAAGGAACATCTGTCTCCTATGGTTTCTGCCCATCTACAACATTCTGAAAAAACTGACTTGTTTGGGGATCCCATTGATTAAGCAATGCTATTTAGCAGGATTCAGACAAGGCCTTCTATGTTTAACATCTGTCTTCTGAAATAGCATTGCCTCTCCCCCCCTCCTTACTAGTCTTAGCACCAAAAACATGGCTATTTGCTCAATCTTGGACTAAACATAACTTGATCAGGAGGGAGGGGATAACTTAAAGCAGAGGCATCAAACTGGCAGCCCGCGGGCCAGATACATCACGTGAAGGCCATGCCCACCCCGGTTCTGCAAAGGCAAAAAACGTCATGATATGTCACACTACATCACGTGATACAATTGAATTTGGCACCCGTAACTTAAAGGAAGGGAGGAAAGGAATACTGCATCTCTGTCAGCTGCAACTTTTAATAACTAGAAAACAAAATGTATAGCATAAGGAATAAATACTGGGCAGAGGTTTATCTATTTATTCATTTGTTAAACTTTTTTTATAGGTACAGCACAGCCACTGCAGTGTTAAAGCTATGAATAATATTACCTCTAATTAAGTTCTGAGTGTTGACCAAAACATACAATTGAAGAGACAGCAAAATACCTCTTCTACAGCATGATAGGGATGTTCATCCTCTTTTTTCAGGTTCCTGGCCATTGGGACTAAGTTATCCCTACCCTCTTTGGCTGTGGTGTGGTTTGCTTTTTCAGATGAAGTCAGTAGACCCCCTACCTCTTTGTTTCCGACTCGCTGCATGGCATCGCCCAAATGAAAGTAAAAGCGGCCATCATCAGTGCCAGGATCTCCTGATTCTAGACCTTCCTAGAAAAAAAGGGAAACCACATCAACTACTTGTTAAGTCATTTTAAATTTATTCCTAAGGTTATCAATGCACTGAGTTCAACAAGAAATTGTGCCAGCCAGCCAGCTATTCTTTTTTCTCTCCTTTTTCACCCTGCTATTAACTTGCATATCTATAATGATTTTCAAATTTTATGCTTCCAACATTTCACTCTCATAACTCAACTTCTGTTTTTTTTCTCTTATGATATGTTTGTTTGCAATGTCACCCATATTTTGGTAAATCTTGATTTTCCCTATATTTGCTGATACCTCTGATGTACATGGTGTCATTTGGCTAAATAAATTAAATTCAAAGAGTGAAGTCATTGTTACCATAACTGGATTTACACAGTTCTTTCCTGCTGAGCTTTATGAACCTTAGCTTGGGATTCCTATAATTCTGTATCTTACTTTTCTTATTTCCACACTGATTATGAAATTACAATTCTTTTCCCCCCTGATATTTTCAGCTGCTAAACTGCTATGCCCAGAGGCATTTCTAGAGGTGGAGATGCAACACAAGATGCTTCTTTCTCAAGTGTTTACAGCTGAAAATGATTATTGCCTGTAACTCAACATGTAGTAATATATTATTTTACTATATAGAGGATTACTTAAAAAAAAACATCACAAAAAGAGATATATGAATTAGCTTTTGAACAGAGAAGGTAGAAAAAACATTATATGACTTACTGGAAACCCAGAATCTGGAAATATGTAGCACCCACCAATGGTCTTTAAGACAGTTCTATTGTTAAATACTTCACCCCTAATCCTATACAGTACATGACATCCCAATTGCCCTCCTTTCGGCAGCAAATGCCTTTTACTTTCTCAAATAGAAAAAGATAAAAGTCCTAATGTAAATTTTACTTTCAAATAGGGAATGCTTTCTTCAATCTTGTTCTCTGCCTTCAGAATGAATCCATAATGTACTTTTGCAAATCCATCATTAGGAGCCAGGCTTAGAACCTAAGAAAGAGCAAAACAAATAATAATTACAACTTCATCTCTGCAGCTTTCTAAAAAATTGATGCACAGTTTTTTAGAAAGACCTAAAAATGTATTTGTTCCTGTCAGTCCTTTATCTTCTCTTTTCTCTATCTGGCAGCAGTATGGAATCTGGAGTCGGAATAGCACCTGACAGATTCAGGTTCTAGTCCCTCCTCAGCCCCTGGGGTACTTTGAGCCAAGTGCTCTATTTCAGCCCATGAATATACTAGTTAAGGTGCTGGACTATGAGCAGGGAGGCCCAGACTTTACTTTACCCTACCCACAGGGCCCATCACTCTCTCTCAGCCCAATCAACCTCAAAGGGCTCTTGCTGGAGAAAAATAGGAAGGGAGACCACAGTGTTTGCTACTTGAGTTCCTATACACAAAAAAAGGGCAGGCTGTAATTTCAATAAATAAAAAAACCCATAAAGTGATGTTAATATGATGTACAAGTCCCTGCTGTATATCATTTTCTGCTCCAATAGAAACAGAGAAATTCAAACCTGGCAGCAGATGTGAAATGTTACAAGAAAGAAGAGAAAAACTGATTATCAATGGAAGATAGTGGTTTTGGTAGCATTTTCTTATCACCTGTAAGATGGAGCAGAAATGAAATTTCTCATAGAAATGAAATTTATTAAGATCCACTTTAAAAACTCTGAATGTTGGATTTGATATTTGTACAATAGATTTAATGGAAGGTGAAGTGCCAAACAGTACAGAGAACTGTGGAGACACCACATGTCTGTTAGACAGGGGAATTTTCCTTGTAACCAAGTCACCTGACTCCATTAGCTATAACATGCATAGTTCAGAGCACTAGCATAACCTGAATAAGCGAGAACATGTCTTCAGATTTCTTGTACTACAGAGAAAGCCCTTGAAAAAAGTAAAAACAAGATCAATTGCTGTTTGAAAACAAAAGCAGCTTTGATTTCTTACAAAGACTATCTTTAATGTAGTGTGTTCAGTTCCAGACTATGACAGTCAAAAGAAAAATATATAATGGTGGGGGGAGTGAAATGCTACCCCTTTTTTGACGTTGCTTCCAAGCTGTGATACAATGGATGGTCTGATAAAACATTTCCCAGAAATAGGGCACATTTCCATCAGACTGATTTCCAGTTAAAGACATAATTCTTTGATTTAATTTTTACTACTTAGCCTTCTCACTGAAGAAAGAATGAGATTTTGTTTTAAAAAAGGTCTGAATAATTGAAGGGCTGAAGAACACTGAAGTCAAGCTGTTAACATCTGGCTCTGTAGCTGCTAACAGATTAGAAGTTCAAGCATCCTTACCATGGCTAATTAAAGCTAATGAGAACAATAGTTAACAACATTTTAAGATGACAGAAAAGATTTCTGTAAGTTTGATTGCAGCTGACCTACAATTTCTTATTCCAATTCATGGATGTGAAGGAGTATACTATAGTCAACCGTATGGCACCCAGAGGCTGCCATTATAATAAATAATAACATTTTATAAAATCTCATGATAATCATGTAAGTTTTCTTTTGTAAAATAGACAGACTGAGATGACTATGAGGGCTCCTTTGATGCTCTCTGAGCTTGGTTGTTTAGTTGCAGACATTTCATTATCCAAACTAGGTAACATCATCAATGTTTTTATGTTACCTAGTTTGGGTAATGAAAAGTCTGCAAGAAAATAATCAATCTCAGAGAACATCAAGGACTACTCATTTCAACCATGAACTACAAACATTATCTTTTATTGGGACACGATTATTTCAAAAGCACTATTCTCATTCTCAATTTGCTTAATTTATTTGCAGCAGTACTGTCACATAGCTGTATTCGATTGACTAAAGAAAGCTATGGTATTGCCCTGAATATGTCATCCTTATCTAAACATAAGAAGAAAAGAGTAAAAGAAAAAAAAATTGAAGACCTAGAATTTGAAAAAAACACATAAATAGGGAAACCTACTTTTAAGGGTTATTAAAGGGTTACCCATTAATACCTTAGGAGAATATCAAAATGATGTTTTTAGATTTGTGAAAATAAATGGGCAAAGCAATTAATAATTACTTATATCTAGGTTTTTATCCACCTATCTAGGTTATTTTTTAATGTATGGCTCTTATATATAAAGACTTGCATAACCACACATATAGTATTTTTGAGATCATTTATCTGTACTTAATAGAAGCTCACCTCCTCGTAAACCTTCTTGGCATTGTTATTGTCTCCAATTAAAAGATAACCCACTCCAAGGTTGTTCTTGAATGAAGCATCATTAGGAAACAAATCAACTAGTTTCTGTAGTGTAACTAATGAACCTCTCATGCGACCTAATTTGACGGGGAAACAATAAAAAAGCAACTTGGCTAGTACATGAAGAAGCAACTTGGAATACAGGAACTACGCTAACAAAATAAATTAAGATTGTTAAAAAATAAAATAAACTATGTGCCATTAAACAGTACAACATGTGTAAAACTTACACTTCTAAGTCATGCCTTAGAAAACTATGCTTGCATTGCCTAGTGTTATGGAGACCTCTAGTGCACAATCAAAGCATTTTCACTATCTTCTTTTTGGACAATAATGCACATTCCAAATTGTTGGCCTTTTTCTCGACTGCATCCATTTTAGATATAAATAAACTGAGTTTATTCATGCTATTCAAAATTATCACACTATTTAATGAAAGGCTTGCTGCTCTTTGGGATTACATAGGCTACCTGAGACTAAAACTAGAACAATTACTACCTTTAATTATTCAAATATAAATTATATCCGTAATATAATGTTCCTGGGAATGATTAGTAATTGAAATGCATTTTGTGCCCAAAGGTTTATTTTTGCACAATAAAACTTCAGCTTTTAAGCCTGTACACTGCAATTTCAGCCACTGGAAACGGATAGGTGTATTTGCATTAGGCTTGTATTTGATTCACTTTAACAAAGAGATTTGTACAAGCAGGTGACCTGATTCTCTTTATAAACGTGAGAGGTAACATGAATCACTTTGACAAAACAGTTTATATTACTTCTAATTGCTTTGAGCTGCAGGAGAAGGTTCATCTTACCATGCTCTACCCCCATTGGCCACTTGTGTTCTGGACAGCTTCAGCACATGCTGTGAAGATTACCCACAGCCTTCCCAAAAGCACAGTCTGGAAGACTTTCAGCATGAGTCAAGGGTTCTCCAGTCTGGCAGCTTCAGCACAGATTCTCACAGCATTTGCCATAGCTGGCAAGAGTGCAGCTGCAGCACTTTTGTACCACAAATACAGAAAAGCATTTCTCTCTACCTATTTCCCCAGTATGAGTTCTCCGGGGGAAAGGTAAGAAGGGTTACCAAAATCTGCTACTTGGAGAGACACTGCAGTTATTAGACTACCTGACTTGAATATACCTGACCCGTTTCTTCAGTTACTCTCTGGGAGATTCTGAGGTATAACTTGAAGAAGACAAGACCTAGGCAGAAATTCATGATGACAAATACTTCTCAGGAACTAATGTGATTTGTTTCAAATCTCAGGCAGAAAAAGAGTAACATTATGCATTTATGCAGTGAAAAGAAGTAAGGCCAGATTACACACTGACTCTTCACAAAAGCCTTTAATTTTAATTACTAGTTCATAACAACATTAGTTTTCATTTAATTATTTCATTTTTTTGTCCAATTTATTTTGTTTATTTAGTTACTATTTCATTTATTTTTATATTTAACTCAAGGTGGCAAACATACCTAATACTCCTTCCTCCTAATTATGCCTTTCTCTTCCTACCGTGTTTCCCCAAAAATAAGACCCGTTCTTATTTTATTTTATTTTTTGCCTCCAAAAGAGACACCAGGACTTATTTTTTTTGGGGGGGGGGGTCTTTTCCACAGTCTCATCTCGTGGTTGCGGCACTAACAGTCCCACCCGGTCGGCCCATTTCTTTTGCGGCTGAAGGATATGCCTCTGCAGCTGAGAATGGAGCTCCAGATTGATGCGTGCGGTGCCCCCCAGCCTGCATTTTGCCATCAGAAGCCTTACAGAAAGGCCTCTGCAGCTGAGAACTGAGCTACAAATTCAATCCATAGCTTGGTTCTTGGCTGCGAAATGCAGGCCAGGGGAATCCATAGCTCCATTCTCAGCTGCAGAGGCATTTTCTGAAGGCCTCTGACCATGAAATGCAGGCTGGGGTAGGGCGCCGCAAGAGTGGTCTGGCAAAACGAGACAGGTGTCAATTCATGGAAGGCCAGGCTGCAATGGTAAGCGGGCCCGGGGCACGTGAGGCAGCTCCACTCCTACCCCTGCCTTAGCTTGCCTCGCTCCAACACTACGGCTTATTTTTGGTGTAGGACTTATATTAGGCCTATCCACAAAAATCGCTAGGGCTTATTTTCGGAATAGGTTTTATTTTCGGGAAAACATAGTATTTTCTTCCCAACAACAGTTCTGTGAGGTGAGTTGGGCAGAAAGAGAATGACTGGTCCAAAGTCAAACAGTTGACTTTCATACCTAAGGTGGAACTAGAACTCAGTCTTCTAGTTTCTAGCCTGGTACCTTAACTACTAGCCCAAATTTGCTCTTAGGAATTGTTGAATTTAGGAACTGCTGAATTGCCTGTCAGTTAACTATTGCTAAAGTGATAATTTGTCTAGTGCAATGTTCTTCAAATGTTACTGCCAGATTCAATAGATATTTTGTTGCAGGATATCTATCTATCTATCTATCTATCTATCTATCTATCTATCTATCTATCTATCTATCTATCTATCTATCTATCCATCTATCCATTTATCATTTATACACCGCCGATCTTACCTAAGTGACTCTAGGTGGTTTACAATAAACATTTAAGAGGTTAAGAGATATTTTGAGAGTGTTCAATAGGTTTCCATCCTACCTTGCTGCCCATAGGTTTGGAAGCTTGGGAACTACACAAGAATATCTAATTCCTGGATATCAAAACATGGAACATTTTTAAACATTTGAGCCACTGGTAAGTCTGGTTTCAGAAACTTACCAAGAAACTGCTGCCTGTCTGCGCGCCGTTTCAATGTCATCTTTACTAGATCATCAGGGACATTTGGCAGATTGGCCACTTCACCATAGGTGGTAATAGATCGCTGTAGTATTTCATTGCTTCTCATTTTCTCAGCCAAGTCATCCTCACTCTGTGTGTGATAATAAAGCATTAATTAGTATTGAAATTGCTATCAAACTTAAAGCACAGGTTAATTAATTAATCGCTATTAGATTATAAGATTTATTTCAAAATCACCATTATATGACTTCTAAAGTTTTGATTCATAAAAACTGCATATGGCAGATACATAATTCTTTAATACAAAAGGAAGAATGTAACACGGTTATACTATCAAAAACTAAGAAGTTATTTTGAAAATTTGTAAGCCCTCTTTATATCCAGATATGACAATTGCTTCAAAACAATCAATACATTTTCAATGCACGTCTTCCTTTAGTTTATTTTTTTCTGAGATGCCTGTAAAGTGATTTTGAACTTAAGACGCTCTTGTCTCTTCCTCCTTGCAGCAAAAGGGACATAAAACTATCTCTGTTACTGTATTCTAAATCAGGGGTCTGCAACCTTGACAACTTTAAGACTTGTGGACTATGCTGGCTGAGGAATTCTGGGAGCTGAAGCCCACAAGTCTTAAAGTTGTTAGGTTGCAGATCTCTGCTCTAAATGCATCTAAAATGATTATCACATTTTAACAGTAGGTAATTTCATAATTAATTCTATAAATTTAAATAATATCATGTCTGCATTTTAGTTATAGTAGGTTAGTGCTACTAGGTTTTAAGGATTTAAATATATTCTTTTGTGGGTTTTTAGACTGAGGTCCTTAAAGAAACAACAACAACAATAATAAAAATAATAATAATAGAGGCAGGAAACCCTATACCATTTCAGACAAATGGCTGTCCAGTCTCTTCCTAAAAACGTCCAGTGTTTAAACATTCACAACTTCTGAAGGCAGGTTGTTCCACTGATTAAATGTTCTAACTTACACAGTACAGGTAGTCTTCAACTTACGACCACAATTAGGATCAGAATTTCTGTGGTTAGGTGATGCATGTGTTAGGTGATGTGCAATTGATTTTATGACCTTTTTGTTGAAGTGGTTATGCAAATTACATTAAACAAATCCAGCTTCTCCCATTAAATTTGCTTATCAGAGGCCCCCTGGGAAGTTCACCAATGGTGATCATGTGACCCCAGACTCTACAACCATTATAAATACATGTCAGTTGTTAAATGCCCAAATCATGATTATTCAACTGCAGGAATGCTGTAACATTGTGACGTGTGAAGACTGATTGTAAGGCACTTTTTTCAGTGCCTTTGTAACTTTGAGCAGTCATTTAAAAATGGTCATAAATCGAGGACCACCTGTACATGTCTTACATTTTCACCAGATAATTTCAGGTGGCAGGGTTAGGGAACATACTCTCATTTTATGATTACATCAGCTGAGAAGGGTAGAAGAGCTAATACTGTGTCTTAATCCCTTGCAATGTGAGAAGCTAAAAGCATTCAGAAAAGGAAAGACATGAGCTAGCTAGCTTCTTCTACTCATGTAAGGAAGTGTTACATTATATGACCTGTTCTCTTCTTTCAGGAGAAGTCTGAAAACTGATCAAGTAGGATCAAAGTGGTCTTGCTTTTAAAAATTATGCAGTTAACTATTCAATTTTTACAGGGCAGGGGAAAACTCTAGCTCTTGTCTGCATTATGTAAGGATTTTTTTTTCCAAATCACCTATGTAACTTGGGCCCTTGATATTTGCAATTTATGCTCAACTCCTTGCCACTTAAGTTATCTGAACCATTCAAATATATCTTTCTGCCATCTTTGGGGCTGATTTAAAGGGGTGTTTTGGCACTTAGTTCCATTCACTCAGTTAAAGATAGAATTCATACTGAACCCAAATTAGTACCTTGTCTGTGTTTAGCCAATATTATTGGGATAAATTTAAATAATTATTCCAATGACATGAAAGAAACATCTTAATTTCAATTATTTAGATCCAAAAATCTGAACTTTGTCATCACTTGTCCCTAACTGCACCATTGTTGGGTGTGATTAGCTATCAAATACTCCTTGACACATAAACAGGACTATTCAGCTTCTGCTTGGTGGCACAGTGGTTAGAATGCAGCATTGCAGGTTAATTCCGCAATCTCACTGTCAGGTGTTCGATCCTGACTGGTTCAAGGTTGACTCAGCCTTCCATCCTTACAAGATTGGTAAAATGAGGATCCAGATTGTGGGGGCAATATGCTGTTTTCTCTTAGAGAGGGCTGTAAAGTATAGCAGTATATAAGTCTAAGTGCTATTGCTATTGCTATTCTCATTCACAAAATAATGCAACGGCAATTCTCCGCTAGAAAGAATCCGTAAGGGAATTTTTCACGTTTTCCCTTAGAAATCCAGAGGTTTGTAACATGCAGAATCAGGATTACATAGGCTCACCAATCCTGAAAGCGGATCTTGCTGCCAAATCCATACAAAAGTTAGTAGCAAATTGGAATTTTCAATATGACAAATAACACCTAGAAAAATCATTCACTATTTATTAACTTTTCCCCTCCCTCCCAATCCCAATTTTATGGGAATGTTTTCTTTCAAAGTCAGATTTTGGTCTCAAAAAAGGTGGTCGTTCCCACCATGGTCCTTTTTGTGCCATGCTACCATTTGGCCATTAAATTCCAAAATTCACTATTTTCTGCACTTTTTTTTTTTGCCAATTCTGATCCATATAATTTCCTGATTAGTGTATTTGTTAAAAGAGAGAAATAAAGGAAAATAATCTCAGTTCAGAGAAATTTGTCAATGTCCAATCAATTTAGTTACAACAAAATAATGAGACCGTATTGCATTTTTTCCCTCTATATACAGTTGTAGCTGAGTACTCAGTTGCTTTGAAACTCATCAAATTTGGTACTCAATGCATTTTGATGTGAAAATTTTGTCCTGGTACTCATCATTGATTTGGTAGTCAACGCACAAGCTAAAACCTGTTGGTGTCAGCTGCCTTGTGATTTTTTTTTCCTTATGGGAAAAACTGTTTGTACTCATCATTTTTGGTACTCATCGCACCTCCTGGAACCAATTAATGATGAGTGCCAAGGTACCACTGTATTTTAAAGAATTAAATAACTGACAGATTTTGAAATCAGAGGCTGCTTCCTAATATAGTATATCAATTGTTTACTTTATTCACTTTACTTTATTTGCAACCAGTAAAAAATCTTAAGTACATAAGATACACTATGGTTTGATTTTCCATGCACAATTTTTTTGCTTTCTTTTAATTTTACCTGGGCTTTTCCATATCTTGCTCGTGGACTTTGGGGATACTTGCTTACCAAAGCTTCAAATGCCTTTAAAGCTTCCTCTGTTTTCCCCTGAAAGTGAGAGAGTTATGCTATAAATAAAGAAGATAAATCCTTACAATTATTATTTATATAAAGAATGCACTCCAGATACGTTGGATGCTGACTCCCACAAGGCCCAAACAAGGACATATAAATATTGAATTCCATCACATATAGATGGCAAAAAGTTGGGAAAAGCAGAACCTATGGTGTCAGCGAAGTGTGGTGGAATATTTTGTACTTAAGATATAATATACAATTTTAAGAATATATACAATGATATTGTGACAAAAGTTATTAAAATATCACTAAAAGAAATGCAAATAATAGTATAAATTCAGGGAGGAAAACAAAATTCTGTAGTTCTTGGGTTTAAAATGAATGCTGTAGGAAAAATAAAAAAGGCCTCGATAGATATTTAAAATATAATTATTTAAGAGGGGATTAACTTTGAATAATTTCTGATCACTATGTTAAGAAATTAACATAAGCCATTTGTCATAAAAATCTTCTTTATCTGAAAGAGATTATGACAAATGGTTGTGTTAATTTCTATAGTTGCAGGAATATCATTCCAAAGAGAAGATTGGTTCCTATTGGTGTATATCGATTACTGACATGTTGATGTTGATGAATGTTCAGAGATATTAAAACATTTCTGCTAAGTCAATGTCCATTCTCATACTTCCTCCCCCCAGAGGAAGTTTACTAGCAATTAATTTAGCTATGTGGCATGATGCATGGACAGACAGACAGAAACACACAAGTACACGCTACATTGCAGTTTTAATTTTGCAATCTAAATTTTACCTTTTTGCGTAGCTTTTCTGCAGCATCAAGTTCAACTTTAATACTTTTATCCAATTTATTGAGCAATTTTGGTTTCTTCTTCTTTACTATGAAAGAGCATAAAAAACCCACAAAATTTCCACCAAATTCAGTAATATTGGAGATTACTTTATAGCAACTCAAGTATATAATAAATCTGGTATAATAAATCAGTTTTCCATTGGAAGGCAGGATACATTTTAGATCCATAATCATTTGCAAACTAAAAATTGTATCTTGGTATCAGCTCCTACTTCCCCATTCTCTCTCTGCCTCCTCCTTCCTTGCCCCAAACCTGCCCCACACGTGTACCAACAAAGATCTCTCTCCAGCCACTCTGCCAATTCCATCATCCTATCTGGTTTTTACAATTCCAAATGTGGTAAGTAGAAGAACTATAGTTTTATTGTTTGGAGGTCTCAACATACACATAGGGGATCAACATGAGCATAAAATATAAATAAGTAGGAAAGTCTCCTCTTCCAAGAGACTTTCCTACTTATTTATATTTTATGCTGATGTTGATCCCCTATTCCATTCCCAGTGGGTGGAATAAAGATAAAAAATAAATTTGATGTAATAAAATCTAAATTATTGAATTTAATATGGTAATTTTCTGTATACAATATCTTTTTCTGCCGTTTGGAGGGGCCTTGGAGATAAACCTGGTCCTGAAATTTCTAATTATGAGTCTCTACCAATATTAACATTGAAAAGATTACATCAAGAAATAAGGATAGTATACTTTGGGGGGTTCCAAAATTTTTGTATAGGGAAAATTAATCTAGAACAAACAAAAAATACCTAAGGATCTTACCATTATAGAATTCACGACAACTATGGCTGATGAGATGAATTGTAGACATTTTTAACCAGAACTCCAAAACCATCTCTGGCTAAAACTGTTAAACCAATGTGTCAAATGAAGTATTTACAGCTACTGTAAGCTATTGCCCATACATATTTCTCAGCTGTCAGAACTATAAATTGCATTTGTAAGATTTATTTACCTATGTAACAGTGTGAAAGATGAAATGCTAGTCCTTCCATTCTTAATATTAAACACATCTATATTTCAGTATTTTGAATACTACAGCATTTTAGCTCAATATGATTGATTGCATAGACATGAAAAGAAAATAATAGAATAATTCGCTGTCATTTTTAAAGATTTGGGAGATCTGTTTTCATAGATTGCTTCCAAGAACACCCATATGATTTAGGACATTTAGTTCACATTCTACCATATGGTATCCTGTTTTTGGACAATAAGGAAAAAATGACAGATGTCTACATTGGTCAATACTGTATAATATTCCGGTGCATTTTGAAGAGGATTCAGAAGAAATGGTTGGATCTGGTACAAACAAAATGTCTCAATGGTCCACTAAAGCAGTCTGTCTTGTGTATGACTGCAAAAAAAAGTGTATCCACTTTCAGGAATCCATTCGTAAAGGTTAATTTCTTTTTTTGCGAATTCATGTAGAAATTTAAAAAAAGGCTGGGCTGCTTCAATAAATAGCAAACTGGGGGCGTTTCATGCTTGCACAATTCAATTGTCCTTTTGAGTCATTTTTAAATAATGCATACTTTATGATATAACTTTTACAATATATGTCAAAATCAATAAACTGCTATCTTAAGATAGCAACGTTTACAGAGATCTTATTTCACTAGAATAGTTTACTTAGTAGTAGCCTTTTTCTTGCTATATTTCTGTTCAAATACCATGGTATAATAATAAATTAAAAGGTATCAATACTGCCAGCTAAAGCAGAACTTTTCATCTCTTACCCATTTTATTTTAAATGGAAAATGTAGCTGTCTCAACTCATATAGCATGAGATTAGTAAGAAAACTGGAGATCTTTGGCAAAATATATTTAATGATAGGACACTTCAGAAATTTGAATGTTTCTCTCTTTGTCTCTCTCTTTTAGCCTGAGAACAGCAGGTTTCCAAATTTCAAATGCCAGGGAGCAATGACTTGTGAAGCACTATAGCAGTGTTTCTCAACCTTGACAATTTTAAGGCATGTGGACTTCAACTCCCAGAATTCCACAGCCAGCAATTGGAATTCTGTGAGTTGAAGTCCACATGCCTTGAAATTGTCAAGGTTGAGAAACACTGCACTATAGGCATCTGGTTGGCCAAGCTCTTGAATTATTATCTTCTTTTGAACTTTTTTTTTTTTTGCATGAAAACTTGAAATGTGAAAAAGGATATATTTCTTAAACTTTAAATAAACAAAAATGGTGGGAATCAAGAAGTCTAAATGATATATTAGAGACAAAAGAAGTCTTAGGATTTGTCTGAATGCCATTTCCAATGAAGAGGAGATTTGTAGCTAAGCAGATCATATAGATAAAACATTTTCCTCCCAAATCCTAGAATGGTATCCAAAGTGTTTTTAAAGATATGATCATTACTTTCTTAAGTTGACCCTGTCTGACTATAGATGTCAAAGTCCTCCCCCAAACAAAAACAATTAGACTATTTCAAATATGCTCTTACCAATGCAGAGATTTTAGATTATTTGAACTATCTGTATTTTCAGTTGCTTACCTTTTTCTTTTTGCAGAGTTTCTTTTTCACCATGTCCTGGAATAGGTAAACAGATTTCTTATCATCCTGATCCTTTTTAAAAACAAGTTCAAGTGTATATTCACTGAATTATTAAAATGTTGTCTTCAAATAAATAGAATTTAACCATAGTTTGCTCAGAGTAAAATATACACGTGTTGCTAATTAAGGATGTGTTTAAATGAGTTGCTTTGCTTTGATGATGTTTTGAGCAAAGCATTCCTTTGAAATGCTTCCAAATGCGTATAAGATGACGTTCTAGGAATGCGGCCCGGCTATAAAGACGGGGGTCGTCTTATACGCCGGGTCGCCTAATACGCCGGCATATACGGTAATTCTTTTGAATAGTCTTTTCCTAAACATATTTATACAATAGTAAGCTAATTGGCTTCTTTGGTGCCACAGGAATTTTAAATATTCTATCAGACTGTAAAAGGTCTAATTTTCTCTAGAATGGACCAATGGTTCCTATGGGTAAAAGTTTCATGCAACACCATTCTTAATGCATTATATACCCCAATCTTAGTTGTTTTTCATAACACAAGTAATCTTCAACTTATGACCACAATTGGGAACAGAATTTCGCTCTTAAGTCATTGTGGTTGTAAATTGAGGAATTATGTGACCACACTGTTTTATGGCTGGTTTTGCGATGATTGTGAAGTGAGTCACCGTGGTTAAGCAAGCCATGTGTTTAAGTAAACCACATGATTGTTAAGTGTAAACCCATTTTATCCAATGGGTTTTTTTTGTCAAAAAACGCACAAAAAAATGCAAAAAGCAATAACTAATCATCAAGTGAGCCAATTGTCAAGAGCTTGAAATGTGATCATGTGACTGCATGGATGCTGTGGCACTCTTAACTTCAAGGACAGATTTTAAGTAACTTTTTTTGAGTCTGTCTTAATTTCAAACGATCATTAAGCAATTGGTCATAAGTTGTCTCTGTATGTCTGCCTGCCTGTCCATCCATCATCTATCTATCTATCTATCTATCTATCTATCTATCTATCTATCTATCTATCTATCTATCTATCTATCTATCTTTCTAAACCATCCAATTTTCTCCAATAGTGGCTCTGGATATACAATATAACAGATAGTTAAACAAACAAACAAAAAAAGTTTGTGAAATAAATTCAGCAACTGTTACCTAGATTTAGTTCTACAGCACATGCAAGGAATTCTGTGCAGCAACCTTAAATACTGACATATTATGTCATATTAGCTATCAGTCTTTATGCCACAAGTCTCTGCGATGTCCATAGGAAGCAAATGGTCCTAATGTGTTAAACATCACTTCAATTATATCCTTAGTATAATACAACTCAAGACATATTCTGGGAGTAATATGGTTAAGGCCACATTATGTTTTATTTTCTTTATGCCTCCATGAATTTAGTCATGTTTTCCTCCTGAATGGTCTTTTTTCTGACCTTTATAACGATTTAATGACTGATCACTAAAGTATATGTCAGTATTTTTGAAAATAATGACTCCACTAGTGAAACATTCTTCTGTATTTTATTGCAGCAATTGTTAACACAGAAGGTACATATTTTAATAGTTCCCTTCACCTTGTCTTCATGGCACACTTATGTAAACAAGAAAAACATATAGTAGCATAACAGAAAATTTGATCAGCACAATCATCAGCATTTCAAAAATACAGAGTCGCTGTACAAAAACTCAATTTATTTTACCCAAAATAATCTTAATTATCCTTAAAATTATGGCTTTATAAAAAGTATTCCTGTCATTTAGAAATGTACAATTTTAATTCTATGAAAAATAATACTTTGCCTCGATCTGTATGAACAGATTGTTTCCTAAGTATCATAAATGTATATGGCATAATCCTTCTAGCATAATGTTCTCATTTGCTGCAACGTCTGTGCATACACAACAAATAGAAAAGACCAAGGCTTATGCGAAATCTTTCATGCATAGATGGGGAGAGTGAGAGAGAGGAGAACAAGTCCACAGAAATACATGATTAAGTACTACGTACACACTCAAACTATGTAGTCCCTGTTATCTTGGATTTAAACATAATAAAAATGCACTGCATTTATCTCTATTTCTTTTTTTAAAAAAAGTTACATCCAATCACTACCTAAAATATACAAGCCACATATTCTATTGCTACTGTAGTGAACCCTCAAAGATTCAAATAGTGTGTATTTCCTATAAAGTTCTCAGTTTTAAATGTAACTACTTTTTATTTTTTCTGAAAGAATATCTTTAAATTCTGCAGCAGGACTGAGAACAATTCTCCTACATATTGCCTCAGTTAATATTCACCTTTTGTAAGCAAAGTATTTATTAAGAAATATATATAATTGTAACAAACAGTTTTTGGTAAAGCATGTACAAGCAGTAATAATTAAACTGTAAGCCTAAGATCATTTACTTTTAAATCTTATTTACTGCAGAAGTTTTATTATTATAAGAAGTTACAAGGACATCACTTACATAGGAGAGATAATAACAAGGCCAAAAGACAAAGGGAAATCCTTGTGTTTTAATATTAAAGTTTCACCAGAAGAATCAGTCCATCAAAACATAAAAAAGTAAAAAATATATTTAGTGATCCTTTTGGAATAGGTCCATGGTTAAAATATTTGCTTTATCTGGGCTAATGTCAGATAAATATTAAAATTAGTATGTAGAAGTCCAAGTCAAAATTATTTCACAGTCCTATTTCACTAGCTTTTTGCCATAAGGCATGTAAATATACCAAAATATTTTGTTCACATTTTAAAACTTTGTAAAATCAGATTACATCCATATTTTAGTGTTACACTATAAATACAATTATGTGAACACATGTTAAGATTCAAATACAATTATTTGTCCACTAATAGGAGAAAAGTTAAAAAAACATGTATACTAAATGCTACAAAAATATTAAAAGTGAATATTAGTATGCTAAATATATGCTAAAGTCAACTGGCTTACTAAAAAAAAATCAACTATGTGCTGTGGTGCTCTGTAATCCTTCACTGTTTTAGGCATTTTCGGAAGTATCTTTTGAATTTCTTGTATCATTTTAAGAAATGAATTTGCCATTCATATTAAGCATTTTTTAAAAGGTTTTACATTTTTATGTCATATTAGTAGTTATGGGAAATGAATTAAAAATGGAATTTCTAAATGGAATGGTCTCATAAAGTAATTTGTGAAACACTTTTTAGTGCCTACACCCGCCACTAATTTTCTGAGCTCCATTAATTATGTCATAGAAAATATTTTAACAAACATCTGCTGCCACTGTGTAGAATATGGTTTAAGCTGGTCCTCCTGATGTAGGGAGTCTTTTTGAAGCGTTAAGTATCTGAAAAAATAAGGGGAGATCTAAATTAGAGGACCAACCATAAAACAGGTGATTGAGAAATAATATTTAATATAAATATGCAACTTTGTAATATACTTAATTTAGCTATGTGTTATTAGAAATACTGCTTAATTAAACACAAAGTTGCTATCTAGGGGAAAAGGTAGGCAATAACAGAATTAAAGGACAGATCCTTGGAACTAAAATGATCCCAGAAACCTAAGAATCTCCTACCCCACCTTTCTTTGATACGCCTATTGGATATACATTTTAAAAAAACACCGATTATGATGGGAAAAGCGTATGTGGAAGGAAAATTGCCTAAGATACATTCATATTTATGAAAGCTGGAGTACCCAGTGTTACAGAAGGATGAACAAATTTTGCTTATGTCAAGCTGTTTTCCAAAATCCTCATTTTCCCTCTTGGAAAATAAGTGGCAATCATTTGCATATGAGAGAGACTACCTTTGACACTATAGCAAGATTTATCTACAGTCTATATAGTTCTACTTTGGGCTTTTTTTTGATCTTAGAATGTTTGAAAAAAATGGTATATATATACATACACTGAAGGACAGAAGGAATAAAGAAGTTGAAAACAAAGAGATTGGAATTAGGTCTTTATATCCAAATCATAATATATTATTTCAGCTACCTATCTGCAAATCATGAACATAAAGGTAGAAAAAGTGGTAAACCAATGTTTAAATAGAAAAAAAATCTAAAATCGCTTATATTCTCCTCTGTTCTATCATGTCAAACACTTTGTATAAAGAGAAATATCTTCAAATAGCACAAAACTGTGCCAAAAAGAAAGAGTCAAGGCAAATATAATGCTGGGAATGGCAGGAATTAAACACATATAGGAACTGGATTAAACAAGATGTCTGAGTAGTTTATTTCCTGGGGTCCTTTGAGAGAAATTATGAGAATGCAGCTATTAAAAATCCATGTACCAGATAATGTTCAAATATGTCAGTTGCAGCTGAACTACACATTCATATTCAGACCAATGTAATATAATAGGATACAATAGAAGGAGCTATATCACCAAAACTACTGTTGAAATGCCTAGCAATTATTCCCTGGGCTGCTCACAAAGCTTTCACATCAACTCAAATTCACCTCTAGTTAAGAAGGTAAGATTCATTCAAGCAGTTGTCTAGTTTTGCATCCTATTCCCACTTATAGTCAGGCTAGACAAATGTCCCAGTAGATTGTGTCCTAAGAAGAACCATCCCCTTTATATATTTCTCAGCACTTGTATTGCAGGAAGGAACTATGCTATAAAATGCAAACTGTCATATATATACATCTGACTACCTAAAATATATAGGTATTATATATAATATATATATTATATAATATATATAATATATTATATAATAATATATTTCGACTTCGTCGAAACGTCGCCAAGACACTTCCAATTTTACGTGGGAGAAAACCCGAACAACCAAAGACCTACATATATATATTATATATATATAAAATATATAAGTATTACATAAATTATATATTAATACTTTGTGCTTTCCTGACTAACTCATAAAAGGAACTACATCTTTTACAACAAAATTCATTTGTATATTTTTCAGAGATATGTAAATCCATACAATAGTTACTGAATATACACGATAAGACTTTTTAAAAAATCAATTTATTTACAACAATAAATATAATGAAAAAAATAAACATCAACTTCATAGTTTGAAGCCATTAATAACACTATAATAGCTGTTTTATATAAACTACTTATTCTTGATTACAAGGACACACACACACAAGGAATTTATATATACAGCCAAAATCTTTTTAGCTGGTGGACGGGGAAAGAGAGAAGAAAATACAAGTGATTTCTGTAGGCACTTTCTTGCATCTGATTCATCCTCCCCCCACCTCTTTGCAGAGTGGACAGATTGGAGAGGAAGGAATTTCAAGAGAATAAGCAGGCACACAATGGGGCATCCTTCCGAGGTAGGTAAAATGAGGACCCAGATTGTTGGGGGCAATTTAAATATATATATACATTGCTTACTGGTGTACACCGCTTAGAGAGTGCTTGCACTTAAAAGCGGTATATAAGTCTCATAAATAAATAAATAAATAAATATACTGGCTGTTTGCTGAATGTATTCACAACTGTCTGCAATTGTTTTCAAGGTGTATTCCTCATAATGTGCCTTACTCTCTTGTAAACCCTTGTTCTCCACTGAATATAAAATACAAAAATTAATTCTCTTCTTATTAATTATGCCAACATATGAGTGAATGTTCCAAAGGGCCAGGAGGCAAACAAAAGTGAAAGGTGTGAAACCAATAGTCTTGTTAGTTTTGAAGCCTCTATCCTAGCATTGTTGTGGAGAGAAGCATTTCAAAGAGTAGGGAAGAGGAGAAAAGGAAAGCACAGTTGTGGTTATGTGATTGACCACTTAGAAGCTCTAACTCAACTGTGATCACTAAATGATGACAGTTATATAGCCATGATTCAAAGTTTGATTTTCACTTGGCATCTGACAATGCTGTTCCAGTTAAGCTTGTGCTTCAGGATTTCCTTAAGAATCAGGAAGCCAGGATTCAATGGAGGCTGATCAACCACAAGGATCTCCTGTTCAAATGGAGCAGCCAGATGATGAGGAACAACCCCCAAGACCCAGGTCTAGACAAATCCAAATGTGAGCTGAGCAACATTCAAGGAGGCTTCTCACTAAGAAAAGGGCAAGGCATGTGTAATTGGTTGGTTATCCAGATTTAGCTCGCCCCTTTGCCTACAGTCTTTGTTGGAGACATTTGTTTGACTTTCTAGTTCTTGCTTTTTGTTCCTGGCCACTGGACCAACTGACTACCCAATTTGGCATCCTGTGACTCTTGGAATGTATTTGGTCAACCACTTTTAGGCATTTGACTCACACTGCTGACTGCTGTTATCTGTCTAAAATTCAGTAAATGTGCCAGTTTTGAATACTCTCTCTCTCTCTCTCTCTCCCTCTCCCTCCCCCCTCTCTCTGTGTGTGTGCATATCAGCAACCCTGAAACAGAACATTACCTGTACTGAACTATTACTGTTTAATAGTATGGATTATCCATACCACAATGGATAAGAATTGCCAAAGTTTAGATTATTACTTCTAAAATTTATGTGTGAATATTAGCAAAATTAAATCCAATGCAATTCGCTCATTTAAAATTAAAATATTTTTAAAACTGAAAGAAATAATGCTCTTAAAATTCCCTTTGTAGTTTTTTTAGACAATGAACATTACATATAAAAAACTTCAAACAACACTCTGTAAGCCATAATTTGCGTCTCTCGTATGGAAAAATACAGCATTAAAAATTTGATTAAACAGCAATTTCACTTCAGTTCTGGAAGATCTATAAGATATCAATCTACTTTTCAATGATAAACAGTTCAAAATTTGTAATACAAAAAGAATACAGAAAATGAAAGAAGTTTCTGGAATTTCAGTTAACTATATTTTCAAATCCTGAAAAACATGCAAAACTGACATAGTTGTTTTAGAGCAGTGGTTCTCAACCTTTTTAATGCCGCGACCCCCAACCGGTCATAAGTTGAGGACTACTCAACCGGTCGTAAGTCAAGGACTACTCAACTGGTGCAGCACTGTTTGCAGAATGGGACTTTTGGCGGGCTCAGCAGGGCAGAGACAGTCTGGACAATTCCTATTGGCTTTTGAAAGCCAATAGAATTAGACTCTATTCAAGAGAGTCTATTCTATTGGCTTTCAAAAGCCAATAGAATAAAAAGGAGTAGCACAGCTAAGGAAAAGGGGGAAAAAATGGCAGACTGTGTTGTTTGGCGACCTCCGTGAAATGATTGTTCGATCCCAAATGGGGTCCCGACCCACAGGTTGAGAACCACTGTTTTAGAGGAAGCTGATTACACAATTCCTGTTTCCTGACAATCAAGTTTCTAGCAGCAGGCTAAATTTATAGGAAATTTAGGATATTCTATGATTATCCATGCAATTACACTCATTAAACTGCCCTGCCACGTATGCCTGCCCCTTATTAAAGTACTGCTTAGAATTCATACCAATAGGAGCCACCCACCTAGAAGATTTGAGATGATTTTGCTATGTCATAGTAGATGATGGAAAAGTGCAGTGAATGTAGGAGGGGTAATAAGTTATGCTATATCATATTTTGCTATATATCTCATAAAATATGGTTATTACAAGCCAAATCAAGAAGTAAACTGAATTTCTGGCCTCAGAAAACACTTTATAACTATGTGCTTTCCAATGTGCTTTAATTCTGAAAATTAAAATAACAATCATTATGGAATAAGATTTGAAAAGTTCCTATTGCAGATCAGTAGCTCCCCAAAATGGGCTTAACTTTAAAACTCTTTTATAGACATCTGTTTTTTATTGCAGTAAGTTATCTGTTCAATGGTATCTATTATCCTACTTCATACATATCTCATTTTTAATATAATTTTTGTCCAAAGACTTTAAGGCAGGCCTCCTTTGTCCAAATTTCATGGTTTTATCTATACCATTATTTAAAGACTAATTGATATTGTAAAAAATATATCTACTGTCAGCTGTTTTATTAAATGCTGTTATTAAATTAGATGTTGAATTGCCAACCTGAATAAATACAATACAAAAATAGGATTCTTAGGAATAAAAAAGAAAAAAGTGCTAGAAATACATAAAAATATCAACCTGACAATTATTGCTTTGTTCTAATTGCTTGTTCCACTCCAAAAAAAAAAAAATAAAAATCCTAAACTCTATAGTTCTGTGTTTGTCAAGAAAAAAAATCTGTTTTTCTTTTTAACTTCTGCTACAAACCTCAAATCTGCTTATGAGTTTTATTTCTACTTTTATGTAAAATGTCTCTTATGAGCACTGTGTGAAAGTTACTTTTAATTAAAAATAAGAATCTGAAGAGGTGACTTACCAATTACATCATCCTCTGTATAATTTTCTGTGTGAACAGGAACTTCTGTAATTCAAAGATTTTTAGTCAATTATTATAACACAAGCTTACAGATGTTATTACAATCTCTTAGGAATACTAAAACATTTTTTCCCCTCAGAACTGAAACGATGCAAATATATATTTAACGTCCTTACACGGCAAAGAAGGGTAACGTTCTGCCAAAATTGGCATTATTCAAATAGGATAAAATTCCTACATAGAGAGGAAACAATCCATAGACATATTGTTGTATTTAAAAAATTATATTGGCAACTGACAAGTGTTACTATTCACACTCAAGCTGCATTTTTCTGTTCACAAACATCTTCTAGTTTAGGTAGTAATTCTGTTGATAAAAAGTAACTCAAATGTATATTGTTATAATTCTGCTCATACCATATAAATATAAAAGGAGAAAATATATTTACTTATTTTTGCACAGTTTTGGTCACATCCAGTTACTGGTGCTATTATATACAACGTACTAGTTTGAATGGACAAATATTGTACTAACCTGTCTCATGTTGTTGAGCAGCCACATGATCTTGTGTATGTTCCTCCTCGTGTACTATGAACAAGTTGAAAAAAAATTGTATTTTTAAATTATGTATACTTGCTTCTTGAAATATACTCAGTATATTAATGTTTAATATGTTTTACAGTATATGTAACCTTATTCTGAATTACCTGGAATAGATTAAACAAATTACATAGATTATAGCAAAATAAAAAATAGAGATGAATTACAAAATACAGCACAATTGCTAACCATAACACCCCAACCAAGATAGGGTCTGGTATAGTGGCACATATTTACCTTTAACATTCAAAAGATTCAATTCAGGTGGAAATGGTAATTTTAAGTGTTGCCCAAATTGCTGCTAGGCAATGGAAAATGAAATGAAATGAAGCCCACTTAACCCTTGCTGTTAAAGTGATTAATGTTCTTTGAAGAACTTCTATCCACTCAAATTTTATTCTTTTTTTTTTGCTTCTTTATACAGGTAGTCCTCAACTTACAACCATAACTGAGCCCAAAGTTTTTGTTGCTAAGAAGATAGTTAAATGAGTTTTGTCCCATTTTATGACCTTTCTTGCCACAATTGTTGAGTGATTTACTGCAATTGTTAAGTTAGTACACAGTTGTTAAGTAACTCTAGCTTTCCCATTCACTTTGCTTATCAGAAGGTTGCAAAAGGTAATCACATGTCCCCAGGATACTTCAATCATCATCCACATAGGCCAGTTGCCAAATATTCGAAGTTTGATCAGTTGACTATGGAGATTCTACAACACTCAAATGTGAAAAACAGTCGTAAGTCACTTTTTAAAGTGCTGTTGTAACATGAATGATCACTAAACAAATGGTTGTAATTCAAAGATTACTTGTTCAAATCAAAGGTTGGCTACCCAGAGCTAAATCTTTGCAATAATCTGATTTTTGGGTACTCCTGCCAAACAGTTAGAAAAAGAACACTATTTCATTTCTAATCTGCTTTCAGTAAACATTGAAATTTCTGTCTCCCACTTCATTCAAGGAGCTACAAAAGGCATATATTTGCTGTTTTTTTACTGTTTTTCTGACAACTCATAATGCCCTCTTTCCCATTCAACACAAGAATTAACTCCAAATCTATTCCGAAGGTCTTCACACATAAAAATAGGAAAATCCATGCTTATTTGCACACATTCAAACATATAAAACAGAAATAAATGTTAAGGAATATACAAATGTGATCCAAATAACTTCAATGCTTGCTAGATGAATAACCACAATTGGTAAAACTGGTCAAAATGTGAAAAACCTCAATAGCCAGTCCTTGACTTACAATCAGCCACTTAGGGGCCATCTGAAGTTATGCTGGAACCCAAAAGTTACTTACAACCTAGTTACAACACTCCCATATCTGTCCCCTGCAGTCACATGACCGCCTTTCAGGCACTTGACTGTCTGTTCACATTTACAGCTGTTTGCAGTATCCTGCAGTTACATGATCACAAGTAAACCTAGAGTTTACTTCTTGTTTTTGGCAAAAGTGCCCATAACAAACAATGGGTCTGCATTTTCTCAATGACTTAATGATAATGCTGAGTTGCTTAATGATTGCCACAAAAAAAGTAAAAAATAAAAATAAAAAAAATGTCACTGCAGGTTTTTCTGCACTGGCCCATTTTATGGAACACTAGATGATCGTCTTTCATAAGGCCCTAAAAATTGGGCTATGTTCCCCTGCCTGGGGTGCTAAATGTGTTGAGGGCCCATTTCCTGGCTGTATTGCTAACTGGCCAAATATCTTGGCTACTATGTATATTTAAATATTTTTAGTGTTTTAATTGTAATATATTTTTTGAATTGTAAGCTGGCCAAAATCATTGACTGAGATGAGTGGCTATAGAAATTGAATAAATAAATAATAAAACTGGGTCAGACACGTGACGATCTGCTTTATGACTGTCACCATTGGTGAGTGCAATGGGCAGGCTTCATTACGGTTGTAAGTCAAGGACTATGTCCACTGGTTCCAAATTATACAGTGAAGCTTTCTTGCAATACTGCATTTGTTTATTCCAAAATTGTTTGTATAAAATGCATATAAATGAACTTAACAAAATATTTACAATAATTAATAATTTCATTTCCGGTTTTTTATTTTAAATAATTCCTGGATATATACCTGACTGAATAGGTTCAGTAACAGAATCTGGAACATCTGCATTACCTAAGGAAACAACATCTCTATTAATAAATTATTATGGAAAACTCATAAGGCACAATAAAACACATTTCAACTATTTTTTTTAAGACTGTTGCTGAGGTAAACACAGTCATGTCCTTGCCACCCAAAATCGCTAATGTGATGAATAAGGCTTTTTCCATACTCTTAATGATAACATTTGCATTTACTTCCTTATTTGATATAAAACTGCGTATCTCAGGTTACAATATTTAAAACACTATAAATAACAGAATACAATACAAAAGTATATTTTTTCTTTTTATTAATATATGTAAATATATTTTACTAATATATGTAAAATATATTTAAATTTGGCTGTAATTTTCATCTCAGTTTGGTTTAAACAAGTAACAGTAGGAAAACCAGTGCCTGTCAGATTGATTATTCAGTTTAATGTTTATTCAACAATCCTTTAAAAAAAGAACATTTCATCTATTTATCTAAACGTGAAGCACTCAAATATTTCAGCATATTGAAAAATCAATTACTTCTGATAAGAGAAAGAATACTTTTTTTTATACAACAGTGTTTAATTTTGGGGACCAGGAAGGGATGGGATGGTAGTTTGTGCTATAGCTCAAATCTTCAGTTTATTCCTGTTCTATGTTCTTCCACTGGAAAGAATTACCAATATTTTCAAGCAATGTTCATTCTTCATTTTCTTTTGTGTAGCTCTATTCTATGCATACTTACTTGAAAATACAACCTATTTGATTTCATGAGGCTGGACTTCCAAAAAAGAAATAGTGACTTGGAAGAATCCTCCACTAAAAGCAGATCTGATGACTATAGAGGAATGAAGAACTGGCAAGTAGACTAGTTCTTTGTAAACCTCTTTGTACGAAGAGCACTTGAGATTGCCTACAAGTGCTCCACCAGCACAGGGGTGATTAGAACTTTGACTTTGGAAAGATGAGGGAAAAGCCATCTTGCTCAAACTAAATATTCCATATGTTCTGAGCATCATATTTACATGCACAATGCTTAATCATGGTGTCATGATGACATCTGTAACTGTGGATTCAAGGGCCTTTCTTTTAACATGTCACATTTGACATACATAAAAAGAAGGGGAATTTCAGTCAAATGATTGCAACCCTATCTAGATTTTTTATCTTTCTGAAGCAAATGTCTCTGCAAACTAGGTATCACTTGGATCTTGCTCATCAGGGATCAGAATGTATTTGACCACACATAATATTCATCAGCATCAATTTTACCTACTTTGCTCGTGTGAATCTTTGCTTTAAAATGTGGTGGGAGTAATCAGAAAATGAAAGCTAAAAATAACTATTTTCTAATAATGTATTGCCTTAAATCCTTAGAAATAAAAATGACCAATTTATACTTACGTTCATGTATTTGTTCTGGATGATCAGTGGATTTTGTAGATTTATTATAACAAAAAAAATGGAAGTTTTAGGAAAACATAGCTAACAATAAAAACATTTCTGAAAGCAACATATTTAAAAAAGTATAAAGCTATAGCTAGAAGAACTTTATAAGTAGAGTTTTCAGTTGATTATATTACTGATGTTTGAAGTATTTTATTACTTCCATTGATTCCCTTAAAATATTATATTTCTACCTGGAAGGTAGTACTGTTCAAGAGATATTATTCAGTATGTCCTTGCTTCCAATGTATTCAAAAGCAGATTTTTATATTTTTTATTTTTTATTTAACGTATTTATTTATTTATTTACAAATATTTATATGCCGCCCAATCCCAAAGGACTCAGGGCGGGGTACAAAGTTAAAAACAGTCGTAAAACAATAAAATAATCCAGTCATACCAAGAGTCCGATCATATCCCGGCCCCCTGGGGACATCAGCCCCAGGCCTGCCGGAACAGGAGAGTTTTAACGGCTTTCTTAAAGGCCGGCAGGGTGGGAGTAGTTCGAACCTCGGGGGGAAGTTGATTCCACCAGGTCGGAGCCACCACAGAAAAGGCCCTTCCCCGAGGGCCCGCCAGCCGACATTGTCTGGCCGACGGGACCTGAAGGAGGCCCAATCTATGGGACCTCACTGGGAGCTGTGCGGCAGAATGCAGTAACCTCCTATGCCATAGGGCTTTGAAGGTGATAACCAACACCTTGAATTGCATCCGGAGACCCACAGGAAGCCAGTGCAGCTCACGGAGGATAGGTGACACGTGGGCGTACCTTGGCGCGCCCACAATCGCTCTCGCGGCTGCGTTCTGAACCAACTGCAGCCTCCGAACGCCCTTCAAGGGTAGCCCCATGTAGAGCGCGTTACAGTAATCCAGTCTTGAGGTGACAAGGGCATGAGTGACTGTGAGTAAAGCCTCCCGGTCCAAATAAGGCCGCAACTGGTGCACTAGGCGAACCTGTGCAAAGGTCCCCCTGGCCACAGCCGATAGATGTTGTTCCAAATTTAGCTGTGAGTCCAGGAGGACACCCAAGTTGCGTGCCTGCACTGAGGGAGGTAAATTTGCCCCCCCCCAGGACTAAAGATGGACCATCCAGTTGGCCTTTGGGAGGCAAGACCCAGAGCCACTCGGTCTTGTCAGGGTTGAGTCTAAGCCTGTTCACCCCCATCCAGACCCTCACATCTTCCAGGCACCGGCACATCACGTCGACTGCTTCACTGAAAGGACACGGGGTGGAGAATACAATTGGGTATCATCCGCGTACTGATGATACCTCACCCCGTGTCGCCGAATGATCTCACCCAGCGGTTTCATGTAGATGTTAAAAAGGAGGGGGGACAGGACCGAGCCCTGAGGCACCCCATAATCGAGGCGCCTAGGGGTCGATCTCTGTCCACCCGCCAACACCGACTGCGACCTGTCAGAGAGGTAGGAGGAGAACCACCGCAATACGGTGCCGCCCACCCCCACCTCTCCGAGACGACGCAGAAGGATACCATGGTCGATGGTATCGAAAGCCGCTGAGAGGTCAAGAAGCACCAGGATAGAGGAATAACCCCTATCCCGGGCTCACCAGAGGTCATCGGTCAGTGCGACCAAAGCAGTCTCAGTGCTGTAGCCGGGCCTGAAACCAAATTGAAAAGGGTCCAGATAATTGGTTTCATCCAAGGATCGCAAGAGTTGAGACGCCACCACCTTCTCTACAACCTTCCCCACAAAGGGGAGGTTGGAGACGGGACAAAAGTTCTTCAAAACAGCTGGGTCCAGGGAAGGCTTCTTGAGGAGGGGCCTCACCACCGCTTCCTTTACAGGTTGCGGGAAAGACCCCCCCATCAAGGAGGCGTTGCTTATCGCCTGGAGCCAGCCTCGTGTCACCTCCCTACTGGCAGAAACCAGCCAGGAGGGGCACGGGTCCAATAAACAGGTGGCGGCATTCATTGCCCTCACGGCCTTGTCCACTTCATCAGGGGACACAGGCTCAAACTCGCTCCATATAACATGACTAAGACCAGCCCCTGGCAACTCGGCTGGTACTGTCCAGTCGGAGTCCAGGTCTCTGTGAATCTGAGCGATTTTGTCCGACATTAACCGAATAAACTCCTCAGCTCTCCCCTGCAAGGGTTCCTCCGCCTCCTCCACTTTAAGAAGGGAGCGGGTCACCCTAAACAAGGCGGCCAGGCGAGATTCTGCGGACGCAATAAATGCGGAAAAGTGAACACGCTTTGCCGTCCTTATCGCCACTAAATAAGTCCTAAGATAGGCTCTTAATAGCGATCGGTCAGATTCAGAGTTACTGGCCCTCCAACGTCGCTCTAGACATCTCTTGTGGTGCTTCATCTCCTGGAGCTCCTCAGTAAACCAAGGCGCCCTCCGGGGACCACCACCACAGAGAGGTCACAAAGGCGCAATTCGATCCAGGGCCCCGGACGCCGCCTCATTCCAGGCCGCAACCAGGGACCCGGACGAGTTGTGGACAAGGGAGTCAGGTATTTCCCCAAGCTCCTCCTGGAACCAATCTGGGTCCATTAGGCGCCTGGGGCGGAACCACCTAGTCGGCTCCATCTCCCTGCAATGGGGGAGTGATGCTCTGAAGTCCAGCCTCAATAGGAAATGATCTGTCCATGACAAGGGCGAGATCTCTATTCCCCTTAATTCCAGATCATGTCTCCATTGCCCCGAGAGAAACACAAGGTCGAGTGTGTGACCACCCCTATGAGTTGGATCCTGAATTACCTGGGTCAGGTCCATGGTTGCCATGGAAGCCATGAACTCCTGCGCCGCCTCTGAGCGATCGCCGAGTGATGGCAGGTTAAAGTCCCCCAGTACTATAAGTCTGGGGAACTCCACCGCCAACCCGGCTACTGACTCCAGCAACGCAGGCAGGGCTGTTGCAACGCAGCTGGGAGGTAGGTACGTCAGCAGCAAGCCCAACTGAACCCGTGAACCCAACTTCAATAGGAGGGACTCACACCCAACAACCTCCGGGGCAGGAATCCCACGAGGGCTCAAGGACTTCCGAGCGATGACTGCCACTCCCCCACCCCTGCCCTGATGTCGAGGCTGATGAAGCACCACAAACCCGTCCAGGCACATCTCCGAGAGGGAAACACCCCCCTCAGGGCCCAGCCAGGTTTCGGTTATACATGCCAGGTCCGCCCCGCTGTCCAATATTAAATCACGGACAAGGGACATTGCTGACAATGGACCTGGCATTAAGCAACAGCAGCCCTGTATTCCCCTGTCACCAGTACTACAGGATGAGCCTTTTGAGGGCCGGAACAAGGAATCGCTCTAACATAGTGAGTCCTCGTTCCCCAAAGATGGCCTGTCCCTCGGTTCCCGCCATATCTGCCCATCCCAGTCATGACCGGGATGCTCCGACCTTCTCCCCTCCCCGGAATACCCCCACCCTCACCAGCCTTCTCCCTTCCTGACCGGACTCGCTTTCCATACAAACCAAGCCCAAGGGTAAGTCCTGCCCCCCCACTTTTGCTATTACACTCAGCAGAGGGGGTACCAGGCTCCACCCCCGACTCCACCATTCTCATATCCCAAACACTCAATACACATTCACACTCAATTTATATACATAAAAAGTAAAAATTTTCGCATTCATACGCCCTAAATACAATAATAAATTTATATATAACAGGGCCACCATTCATCTACATGCATACTCACACCCACAACAAACATTCTCTAAAAAATAGTATTGCCCCTCTGTGTCCCAGGCTGGTCCAATGTGGCCGGCTAGATGATCATTAGGTACTTGTCTTGGGGCAGACCGTACTTGGCCTTATGCTCCTCAAAGAGCTGGGTCAACTTCTCCAAGTTGTTACTGGCCGTCGCTGCAACGGCGGCAATTGCTGCCAAGGCAACGGGCGAAGTCACTTTATGCATTCGCATAAAAATCCTTAATTAATGGATGTTTCCTATATTTTCTACTCTATAGAGGATATAGAAAACACACATATGTAGTCATCCTAGAATATTAAATAAGTAAGAATATGTACAATTTCCTGTGCTTTTTAGCAGGAGTTGAAAGTAAGCATTGTAGCTGTTGCTAAATAGGGTACCTGCAATCCAGCAATAAATAATCCCATATTCCTTGTTCTAATTATAGTATTATTTTTTCACTTTGCCTATGTTTATATAAGTGTCCAGTTAAATGTTCTGAATCTGAAATAACAGTGCCATTACTATCTATTTGAAAACAAAGTATAGACACAGAATTCACAGATGAAGAAAATATTTTGTGTCCCATAAATACAGACTGCAGTTAGAAAACAAATGGATTCAGAAGGCCACAAGGCAACAGCTTTGTACTAAAAATATTATTTTTCATTAAAAAGAAGGGAAGTGTGAAATTGTTCTATGCCGTAAATTTACAAATAAAATGTAAATCAATTATTAGAATTATAGCAACATAACATTTCCTATCATTGACTAAAATGTTGATAGCATTTGGATTTTCTTGTAATTGAAAACAGTTTTTTTTTTAAAAAAAACCTTTTTTCTTCTATGAAAGTAAAATCACACATAAGAGAGTACTTATACTTATTTCTGAAAACTGCAGAGGAATGTACTAAATATATTTCTTGGCCAATTTACATCCAAACATTGAGTAGAGTAGATATAGATACTGTAAATATTTAATGCACAGTAAGTAAATAGGAATCTACGTACCAGAATGTTCAGTGAAGTCTTCTCTCTCTAATTCTAAAAAAAGATTGCACATCTTAATATTAAACATGGGAAGTTGCTATGAATTAAAATCTTCTGTTATTATGGACCAAGTAGATCATATATTAAACACATATCATTTGTCTTAGTTACAATAATATTAATAATTATTATAATAAAAATAAAAGTATATAAAATAATAATTAATCATTAAACATTGTTTACAAGAATATGTTAAGTCATGCATTAAAAGCAAAGTGTCTGATCTATGGAATCTGCAATAAAAATGGTAACTGCCATTTCCTTGTGTCTTTTCAACATACTTCATAACACATTGAGAAAAAGTGGAAGGATACCAATACCTTTGGCCACAATATTGTTTCTAGTTGGTTTGGCATGGCAATTTATTTGCACTGACATATTAGGTTTTGCAAAGTTGACGAGCCAGCTCTTTCCTACCCACTCAGTGCTCTATCATTGTTTTTCTACATCAGTCTCATGTGTTCAGCAAACAAAACAGATCTCCATCAGCAGAAGATACTAATCAGCTGGAAAAATCTATGTAAACATCACATAACCACAGGATTTATATAGATTCAAATAGGGCAAAACTTTGCAAACCCATAAGTAAGCTAGCACTCCCTGAAAGAGACTTAAAATATGGCATTATTTGTTTGATATGACAGATGAATGAAGGAAAACAATGCCATGCTAATAATCACTACTGAAATCCTATTAGAAAACAATGAAAACACATACCAACTTCTTCTACATGGTCAGGCTGTTCCGTACTTTCTGGACCAGATTCTGTAAATGAACACAATATTAAGATCTGTAAAAAAACATGGAAAGTATATCCTTTCAGGGATAGTTATGACAGAAAATGGAAATCATGACCTCCTTAAGTATCATACTGACTCCTAAATGGCTGAAAGCCACTGTTCTTTCACAGATGTGTTCCTCACTTGTACTTGCTATCTAGAAAGTGTGATACAGTATTGACTGCAATTACTATTGTCTTTTGTTTAAATATGTAAGACCATTTTCTCCCCAACTGCTAGTTACTATTCCACATAATTATACATAGTTTCACATTACTAATTCTATTTGATTCATAAAACTGGAAATGAAAAGACTCTCTAGCTTAAAAGACTGAGTGCATAGGCTTTCTTTCCTGCTCAGTCACATTCTTCAAAGAAGACAGAAATAATTGCAGTTTTATAAAATCATGAAGTAACTTTTGGCTCCCCCAAAAATGAATTTGTCAAGAAAAATTAACTCTACTTCTTCAGGCTTAAAACTACTGACAATTAGCAAGGAACATACTTGGAAACATTTATTTCCAAATATTGTGTGTGTGTGTGTGTGTGTGTGTGTGTGTAATTTTATTCTCCCCTTAAGATGGAACTAAGCAAATTAAAGGTGCGTGCAACTGAAGGGAGTTTCTTCTAAATTCAGAAAGAAATCTTAGTTCCAGTTTCTAGGTAGAAGAAGTAGATATAACCCTTTTCTGTCAACATTATTTTGTGTGACCAAAAACAAGCAAGATACTTATTACTCTTGATCATTCAAATAGAAAAGGCAGGTTTTACAACTAAATGATAGTAAACACTTTTTATTAACCAATCTATTACGTACTTTTAACAATTTACTTTTACAAATCATTAAATATATTGCCTTTAGATGAATATAAATCAGACATACCTGGGATTTCTGGCTCGTTTATGCCTTCTTCCACATGAGAATAGTCGTTTAAATCTGAAAATTAGGAATGCCATATTATATTACAAAAGCCATTAATATACCACCAGGCAGGAGATGCTTAATATTGCTGCCACAAATCTCAAGCCAAAAGTAAAAAAAAAAAATCAGAGAAATCAGGTAACAGAAATCTGTATTCAACCCAGAGAAAATCTGCAAATATTCGACTAGTGCTCACAGTAACAAGTTCCCATGTGTGAGATTCAAGCACTGACAATTTTTGTATAGATAGCTGAAACATGTATGCCTTTTCCTAGTGTTCTCAATCAGCACTTTTACTTAAAATAATATAAAGTAAGTTTATTTTAAGTTGTAATTGAATTGTTGAAACTCTTATCAAAACTAGATTCAAGAGTCCTTGGTCCTTTAGATTCACTTTTTCTCTATATAAAAATTTCACTGAAAGTGCTGAATATAATTTGCAGTTCCTGCATATTCAGTACTTAGTCACTTTGTGGCACAAGAAAGTTATCTATCTATCTATCTATCTATCTATCTATCTATCTATCTATCTATCTATCTATCTATCTATCTATCTATCTATCTATCTATCTATCACATTTATACAGCAATCCATCATATCTAACTCTTATATCAAATTATGAAAGACATTAGATACCATCAGTTTCATATTCTTCTTGATCTCTAGGTTGGTAGTTACTTGCAGGTTTTGAAAGTAAAATGTTTCTTTTTAAATATGTACAAAGATTACAGAAAATTCTGCAAAATCTCAAATTTACTAAATTAAATTAATTTACCAAGTTACAAGCACAGAGGCCCATTCTATATGATACACTGGTATTAGAATTCAAGGATTGAAAGACTCAAGAATGAGTCTCAGAACTATGCAAGTTTTCTTACAATCCTTTTTTTTCTTGCACTTGAATACTCCTATGCCTTTAGGTGTAAAATCAATTCAAGCATGAATCTAAACGTAAAATCAATTCAAGCAAAGGCACTCCTAAATAAATACCATTTATTTACAAGTAGAAACATTATTTAAAATAACACATTTCCTGCCAATGTCTCTACAAAGGTGAGTAGTGGAGGGTGCAAGCACGGGAAGACCCCAGGTGGTGCCTTCCCTCAGCCCGGGAGCCTTTCTCCATCAGGGTCTCCCTATCACTATCCAGTTGGGGAGTCTCTGGCTGAGAGCTCAGGGTTGGGTGTGTCCCCCAAACCCAGCCGGCCCCCAGCAACCTTTGAGTTCCATTTTTACTGGTCTCATCTATCAGAACCATGACATTATGTATATATGTATGTAAAAAGGATATATATAAATAAATAAATAAAAGTCTGGAAAAAGATATATAAAAGCATATATATTATATGTTGCCTTAATACATATATAGATACATGCACACACACACACACACACACATGTGTACATGTAAATTATCATATAAAATACAATAGCATTAGACAGCATCACAAAGGTCTAAGTGAACGACTATAACAAACATTGAGCTAAATGCACATTAAACATTAAAACCCTCAATGCCTCCCTGAATTGGTTCAGAAAATTAAATGCTACATAAATATCTGAGAAATATATTTATTTTTCTTTACAACTGAGATACCTTCTTGGGTAGAACTTGATTTCTCTGATATTTCAGGTATTTTATCTTCTATTTCTTCATCATAACTCTGTTCTGTTGTGGGTTCTACAGATACTTCATTATTGTCTTCTTTTTCTTCTTCCTCCTGAAAATCTGTTTTTTCATGATCTTTTTCTTAAAAAAATTGAAAAAAAAAGAAACTTTGAATTTCAGTAAATAGCCTTAATTTCATTAAATCAAACATCCATTTAAAAGAGTAACAGAAATTGCACATTTCCTTTTAAAAAAGCGTAAACAGTGGTACTTAAGTTTGTGAACTCTTTATAATGTTCAGTATTTCAATATAATTTTCAATATTTCTAATATTTCAGGATAAATACGACTTAAATGTAGTCTGTTCTCCACACAAATCTTTAAACTAGTATGTACGTTTTTCTATATATCTTTCTTTAAACAGTGCTTGGCTATAAAATTAAAGGGTATTAAAAATTAAAATTAAAAAAGGATAATGTTGGCTTCTTAGTGATCATTCATTCATTCATTCACTCACTCACTCACTCACATAGGGTAAGTTCATTACATAATAACAGAATAACGGAAGTTGGAAGGGATCTTCGTGGTTTCTAGTACAATCCCCTGCTCAGGCAGGACACCCTATGACTAATGCAGACAAACAGCTGTGCTATCTCTTCTTAAAAATCTCCAATGATGGACCACCCACAACTTATGGAGGCAAGCCGCTCCACTGATTAATTGTTCTTGCTGTCAGGGAATTTCTCCTTAGTTCTATGTTGATTCTCTTCTTGACTAGTTTTCATCCATAGCTTCTTGTTCTGCCTTTTCTGTTTTGGAAAAGTTGATCTTCTCTTCTTTGTGGCAGTTCCTTAGATATTGAAATATTGCTATCATGTCCCTCCTAGTCCTTGTCATTAAACTAAACATACCCAATTCCTCAACCATTCTTCATATGTTTTAGCTTTCACTCCCCTAATCATCTTTGTTGCTTTTGCTGCACTCTTTCTAGAGCCACAAAAAAAAAAAAAATTATATTGTGGTGACCAAAATTGGATGCAATAGCTCAAGTGTGGTCTTACCAAGGCTTTATAAACTGGTACTAACTGTTCATGCTTCTTTTCCAGCCCGCAGGTGCTTTGAAGAATAGACTGCCTCCCCCTTAAATATTGGAAAACTGCTAGATATACCCAGTTCTTGAAACTGTTCATTGTACAGTTTAGCCTCCAACCCCCAATCATCTTTGTTATTCTTCTCTGCACACTTTGTAGAGTCTCAACATCTTTTTTGTAGCATGATGAACAAAACTGGAGACAGTAGTCTAAGAGTGGCATTACCAAAGCTGAATAAAGAATACTAAGACTTCATGTGATCTTGATTCTATCCCTCTAGCCTAGAACTGCACTGGGTATTTGGCAGCTGCAACACATTGCTGGCTCATACTTAAATGATTGTCCACTAGGACTCCTAGATTCCTCTCTGAGAGTTACTGCTGTTGAGGTAGATACCAACTATTCTACTCCTGTGCATTTCCTTTTTCTTGTCTAAATTTAAAACCTTACTTTTCTCACCAGTGAACACATTTTGTTGGATAGGACCCAATGTTCAAGTCTGTAAAGATCCTTCTGGAACTTAACCCTATCTTCTAAAGTGTTGGCTATTCCCCCCTAGCTTGGTGTCATCTGCCAATTTGAAGAGTTCCCCTTCTATCATTTATGAAGATGTTGAAGAGTACTGAGCCTAAGATAAAACCTTGGGGTGCACCACTGCTTGCTTCTCCATGTAGATTTAATTTTATTGAGGACTACCTGTTGAGTGCAGTTATCAGCGAGTTACATACCTATTTGGTAGTAATGCACTCTATCTCACATTTTGCTATATTATCAAAAAGTAGGTTGTGGTCTACTTTGTTTAATGCCAAGTATGAATAGACTATGCAATAAACATTTATCATGGGAAAATTCTTTATGCTGTGCAAAAACAGGTGGAGTAGTATAACAGCTAGTACAACATTTTTCCACCTCAGATAGAAATAATTGTCAAAGCAACAGAGGAATAAGCAGTAAGGTATGCTGTAAACTACGTATCTTACATAGATCAAAGTAATGGCAAACATTTTTTTCTAAAAAAAAAAAAAAGGAAGAATCCATACATTTGAAAAAAAGGAATCTAGGGTACATTCATACCAAGTTGTGACTCAAGAACTTCATGTAGTATGGCCTCAATTTCATCTTCAGGTTCTGCTTTAACATGTATGTGTTCTGCATAAGTTTAGAAAATATATCAACAATTACTGAAAAGAATGAATAGAACTTGAAATAACAGAAAACAGAAAATAAATACCTAGAGAAAAAATGTTTTACCCTTAAAATAGTTTGTAACTGTCAGTCTTTCTCAACTACATATAACCTACGTTTTACACTGGCATTTCAGGTGTTCCCTTTCCAGTTTATTCTACTATTTTTAAAGTTTTTCTTACAACTTTTGCAAAATACTTAAAGCTTTTTCAATGATCTGCACAAAATTAACAACTGACACATATGAAATATCTGAGTTCAAAACAGCCCCACAACTTGCTGTTTGGATTTCTCTACAACTATTTACATCTGCTTCAACTTTTTTCAGAGCCTGGAATAAGTTAAAGCATGATTAAATGTGATATCATTTTCAATTTTTAAAAAATGCAAAACACCTACATTTTTAAAAAATTTGAAAATATCACATGTAATGTTATCCAACAAATATTTTCTTTTTATTGTTCTTCTGATACAATTAATTTTGTATTCAATACTATTAATCTAAGATTGTAACATACATTTTGATTCATTCAAGCATTTGGCTATCAATTCATATATTTTGCAAATGTGTATATTAAATAGAAATAATAATAAAAAACTTCAGGTGAAGAAAAGTGAGTAAATTGGATAAGGCAACTTATATCAATCTATCCATTTTATAGTGTAAGCAGTTTTGCTATATATAGGGCTCAAGATGGAATTTGTTACCTAATGTAAAAATATACTATTGAAATTTTCATTTTAATATATTTCTAAGTTGTATTTTCACATATCTAAGGATAAGCAAGCATAGCCTACAATTAAAATGCTTAATTATAGCTTATCTTTGATAAGACAAAGGTTTAAGGGAACTTTAAGATCTGTGAACAGACTCCAGGATTAAAATAATGTATCAGTATGGAGCCAAAGGTAAAAATAGAACTTATGTTTCCAACAAATTATTGCATCCCATGAACATTATACTAATATGGTTATGTGACGTTATATAGATTACTATATGTTTACATGGGAGATTTTTTGAAAATTATTTAGCAATTCCAACAACTGCAAAATCAGTCACATCTCTTCCTTGTGATTTACAATGGTTGCCAGTTTATTTCAAAGCCCACTTTAGCTGTTGCTTTATAAAGCTCTAAATGGCTTTAGTCCAAGCGTTTGCTAGAATGCCATTCCTAGTGTCTACAGCCTGGACATTAAAAGCTTTGGAAAGTGACTTGCCTTTTAGCTCCACCAGTGAGCAAGGCCTAAGAGTGATTATCCAAGCCAGAACCTTCACAGTTGTATATTCTTACTATGCAATTTGCAGCTTTTGGAAATGATTCTAGCATTTTCATCTTTGCAATTTCATCAATTAGTCAAAATTTCTACATTCAACCTGGCTTTTTAATTTCACTCTCTTCATGTAATATATCTGAAACATACCCAGTATAACAGCAAATTTTAAATTGGCTGTCTCCTCAATGGTGGTCCTTTGTATAAGTTTCTACAGCATGTACTTAACATACAAATGCCTCCAAATTTGGGGATCCTACAATGTGGAGATATACTTAAAAATATTTCAGTTTCCATACCCCAAAAATCTACAAATATTTGCTATAAAGCTCAAATTATTTATTTTTTTCAATCGCATGTATATTTCTTGCTCTCATGGGAAATACACAATTGCATGGTAACATTAAATGCACAAAAATTTAGATTTATAAAAATTCATATGTACAGAAAACTAAATAGATCACATATGAAGATATAAACTTTACAATTCTTTACCCCTAAAGGTCGTTAAAGCTACTTCCCATATGGTTTTTATAAGATTATTTTAAATGAGAATTGCATTTCACTAGGTTTTCAACTTTAGCTAAGTTTTAATAGTATCCAGCTTTGGGAAAGATTATTACTCAATTATTCATTATTTTGATTTCTATTGTTGCTTTTATAATTTTAACCTATTACAACATGCTAGAGTTTTAATAACTGAATGGGCATGAAAACAAGTAAAAATCTTTATTTGTATTATGAATTATATTAATAAAAATATATTTATATTTTATAGATATGTGTTAATTATTTCACACTTCAAGTAATGTGTTTAGTAGCACTTAATATTTTTGGTTTAAAATGGTTGTATTAAAAATACTGCTTCTAACTGGATAATTGTCACATATATTGTAAGTTAAAATAAATGAAATCAATATTCAGATAATGTGTCCTTAAGTAGAAATTATGTGAAAATACTCAAGGATTTACAATTTGTACATTCAATTGTAAAATAATGTATATGAATATTTTATCAATATATTGAATATATTCAAGGATGATATATAAATTGCTGAAAGATATTAAGTACATGGAAATTTTAAAAAGTTATTTAAGTTTTAAAACCACATCTATACATGAAGTTCCCAATTTATTTTTTATGCAATATTCAGGCCTGATACAATGTTTTGCTATACATCTATATATTACTAAATTTAACTAGGATGTTTTATTAATATTTCAAAGTATCTATTTAAAAACTCTTTATCATTTCATGTATGAGCCGAGGTGGCGCAGCAGTTAGAGTGCAGTACTGCAGGCCACTTTAGCTGACTGTGTTCAGCAGGTCAGCGGTTCAAATCTCACCGGCTCAAGGTTGACTCAGCCTTCCATCCTTCCGAGGTAGGTAAAATGAGGACCCAGATTGTTGGGGGCAATGTAATATATATATATGTATATACATATACATATATACATACATACATACATACATTGCTTACTGGTGTACACCGCTTAGAGAGTGCTTGCACTTAAAGCGGTATATAAGTTTCATAAATAAATAAATAAATAAATAAATAACTATTAAATAGTTATTCATCCTAGCCAATTTCCTCTAACAGTAGCTTCTATGTTGCATCTGGAATAGGTATTACATTTGATTTGCAATTTTCTATGAAATATTGATTTTGAAATCGTTTCTGAAGAAATATATAGATGATTATATCTACCAGGAAAAAAGATTCTTCATTGCTTTTATTTAAAAGAAAAACAAAGAGCATGTTAAATAGAAATGAACTATAATGCTGTAAGGTCTGAAAAAACTCATAGGAAGCACAGAATAAATTTTGTAATTGTAGATCTCATGTTCTGAAGGTTTTGTATTACTAAGGGCTTACCACCAAGCCAGACCACCTTGCCCCCAATAATCCCATACAGATGCTGACCTGGAACGTGGCTGGTTGGAAAGGGAAGGCTGACAGTGGACTAATGAACCTCCTCTCTAGATTTAATGTACTGTATTTTCCGGGATATTAGATGACCTGCTGTATAAGACGACCCCCGACTTCGGAGCCAATTTGCATGCCTAGAAAGTAGTCTTATATGCCAGAAACTACCGTAATTTCTGGCGTATAAGACAAGTCGATGTGTAAGACGACCCCTGACTTCGGAGCCAATTTGCATGCTTTAGAAAGTCATCTTATACGCTGGAAAATACGGTAATAGCCTTTCAGGAAACCTGGTTAATCGAAGTGGAAGAACCAGTACAACTGCCAGGCTTCCAGGGATGGATTTTCCCAGCTCAAAAAATAAAAAACAAAGGGTGGGTTATGCATTCTCATAAAGCAAGAATTGCAATAGCAGGGGGAGAAACTATACAACAAATACAAGTATTCATATTTTCCAGCTGTTAAATTTGGATATAAAGAGTTCGAGTTAATACTGGTAAATGTGTATATCCCTCCAAACACATCACAGTATTATAACTCTGAATTTAATATGGTAAACAGAGAAGTACTATGGAGTAAACTGACAGCTCTTAAAATAGAACCTAGACTACTGGCTTTGATTAAAACTCTTTACATAAGTACCTGTTTGAGGGTACGGCGTGGGGTTAATGGGGCTCTAACAGAATTCACACAAATAAAGGGGTAAGGCAAGGGTGTATCCTGGTCTGTTATTATTTAGTTTATATATCAGTGATTTACCAGGGTTAATGAAGGATCCCATGGTACATATGCCAATGATACTAAATACATGTAACAGCTTGCTCTATGCTGATGATAATCCCACAAGTAGGATTATGTAAGCTATTAAGAAGATTCAGCTCTTATTGCCAGGGTAACTCCCTAACCATTAGTAAATCTAAATAAAAAATCATGGTGTTTGGAAAACATCAACAGATGGCAGTGAACCAATTGAACAGATTAACACCTTTGTATATTTAGGCATAACTTTTTCCAAGACTGGATCTTGGGCCTGCCATCATCAACGGAATACACTTAGAGCAAAAGCTCATTTGAATTTACTGCTTAAACTAAAGAATCGTGGTTACCCGGGGTCCCTAGCCCCATTAATTAAAGTATATAAAGCTAAGTTTATCCCTATGCTCTTGTATAGAGCAGAAGTTTGGGGTCTATACTCAACCACAGTCCTAGAACAAATACAGTCCCAGCATTTGAGATGTATTTTGGGTGTAGATCTAAGAACATCTTCTTCAGCAGTTAGAGCTGAATTGGGAATTCATACAATTCATGCATTATCTAAAATTAGAGCATATAATTACTGGCATAAAGTCAGTGAAATGGAGACTGATAGACTCCCCAAGTTATGTCTACTATAGCAAATAAAATTACAATCACAAATCTCCTGGATCACCAAACTAACAAATTTTGTAAGAAGTTGTGGCCTTACTTATGTGGTCTTGCATAACAGGAGTAGGAGTACGATTAAAAAAAAAGAGCTGCCCAAATAATTAAGGATATAGAAACAAAAAATGGCATGCTATCCTTAATAAGATGGGTAACTTGAAATGTCTGAGCAAATACAAACATACTTTTCAAATAGACAGCTATTTGAAGTTACAACTGGCAAAACATCTAAGGCAGATATTTACGCGAGCGAGATTCGAACAGGTCAACACAATGGTTAGATAAGGAAGATTCCATTCCATATCCTACAATGAATTTCTTCTGCATTTGTGGAAGGCCAGAGGTAGAAGACCTGGCTCATATCCTATTTGATTGTTGCCTGTATAAGAGGGTGAGAGACAGGTACCTCGGTCTATATACCAAATGAATGACCCATTGGGATCCCTGTATCAAAACAACTTATGTCCAGCCAGAATCTGAAAATAACATTTAACACAGCACAGTACTTAAGCAAAATGGTTCAGTTGAGATCTGCATAAGTGGGACTTATTGGAGTAGATTGAGGAGTGACACCAAAATATAATTTTATCATATTTTATCTATATTTTAAATTATTGTATTTTATTCCAATTTCATTTTATTTTATTCCCATTTCATTTTAAATTATATTTTATCTAATTCCATTTTAAATTGCTTTTATCAAATTGTAGTAATTTATTTCTGGAACTTTGCACTTTGATATGGCCCAAAGGCTAATAAATAAATTATTAAATAAAAATAAGGGCTTACCTGTTTTCACATATGGCTTTTCTTCAGGTTGGATAACCTCTTCAGCACTTCCTGGCATTGACTGTTCTGGGACAGATTTTTCCTTAAGTCCTGCATTGTTTAGTTATAAAGTTAACTTTAATCTCTGCATCAAGATTTTGATCCAATTAGGCATCATTCATTATTAGCTAACCACCCAGGGTCAATCAGTGAGATGGGAGTTATAGACATTTAATTAATTAATTAAGATGGGGAAATTAAACCTAGTGGGAAATACTTACCACCTCCAGAAAGTCATGTCATCTTCAATTTAAGTTTTAAACATACTGTACATTTAAAACTTTTAATAGCAACTATTTAAAAGGAATTGCTCTCTATATGCATTCATTGGCTTTATTCCCAACTTCTTTGAGCATTTTGTATATCATATTCCCAAACTTATTTCTAATACAGATGGCTAGAATACAATGGAAGACATTAAAAGACCACTGTATCATGGAAATCTCTTTAAAATTATATCTGTATGTGTGCATGATTTTGTGAGATCAAATATCAACCTGCAGTACAATCTTGAATTTGTTACTCTCAACATTTTCCAGCTTTGTCCTTCTTATTCACTGATGAACAAAGTACAATAGATTAAGGGATGTTATAGTAGACCTCAACCTGCTGGAAATGAACAGAAGAAATCCTTTGCTTCACTTAACAGAATAATTCCTGAGGTTTCTTGAGCATTGGAGATGATGAGTTATCTTCATACTGCATACCCAATAGCAAGAAATACAGACAAAAAAGAGCTATACACAATACAAAAGAATGATTATGTACTGTACTTCTATAGTTAGACAGGAAAGAAAAATAGCTAATTTTTTCAGTGTTCCCATATAAGATAAAATAAGATAACCTTTATTGTCATTTTTTTTATTGTGGGCACAATGGCACACATCAAAAATGAAATTTAATTTCCCGCTCTCAAAGTAAAACACATACATGACACACATCTAAACATACTATATACAACTTATGTATAGACCCACACTTCTACATATACATAACAAATAAATATTAAATACTGTCCATCTTGAATATATAACGGAAGGAGGAAGCCTGAGAGTTCACAAGGTTAACATGTATATAACAAATTAATATATAACAAATTCCCAATACATTCTGATTTTACTAGATTTTATCTTAAACTATTGCAAATAGTCCTTGCTTAATGTCCACACATTCAGTGATTGTTCAAAATTACAACAGTGCTGAACAAGAAGTCTTACAACTGGTCCTCATAATTATAGCCACTGTAGCATCCCTGTCATAACATGATAGCAATTTAGTGCTGGCAACCAACTCACAAATACAAAACCTGCAGCATCCCATTTTCACAGGATCACTATTTGCAACCTTCACCACCAACTTTCAACAGGCAAAGTCAATGATGAAACCAGCAGAGTCAGTAAAGAAGAAAATGTGTAGTTCAGGGTTGAAAAAAGAGGTCCTTGGTGCTCAGAGCTTGGTTGTTTTCTTGTGGACGTGTCATCATCAGTGCTGATGATGATGTCACCTAATTTGGGTAATGAAACGTCTGCAAGAAAACAACAAAGCTTAGAAAGCACCAAGGACCCCTCACCAGCAGAAGGTTGTAAATAACGATCACACGAAATTGTGCTTAACCACTATTCAGGATTTGTATAACGTTAACTGGAACTGCTGCATTTCAATGTAAGTCAACAGTCACATGTCACACTTAATGAAAGAGTTGCCATGCCTAATTACCATTGTTAAGCCAGAACTACCTGTATTGCCCTGAATTCTTAGATAGCCGATTTGTAACTAAATATTCTCACATTGAATAAAAAGGAATTGAACAATTCTTCTGCTCAGATATTTTTATTGAATTTCACCTCTCCAAATAAACAAACTGAATGTGCATAAGTGATAGGAACAGGTTTCATTACCTTATTTCTAATATAAATATAAAATAACGTGCATAGAAGTCAAAATTCATTCAAAACTCTCTTTAAACTCTTCAAAAATGAATTAAATATATTTACAGTGAGACTCCATGGACTGTCTATACATTTAAGCAAGGCAACCGGGTGCCTTCCATTTATTACAGAGCATAGTGTCTACCGGTCCTTGCTGGTGGCCAGGCAAAAATGCCTTTTGAAAATATATTTGGAAGCAAATGACTGCTATTCCTAAATGTTTTCTGAAAATGTTATATAATCTTTGACTTCCCCCACAAATGGCATCACTGCTGGATGAAATTTCTGAATTCCATGTTCTGAAGTTTTCGAGGTGGCAATCAACTCAAAAATACATCACCTGCAGCATCCCATGTTGTTGTGGAATTCTTCTTTATCTAACCTCTATCCCTTATATGATTGAATAAAATATATTACAGAGATACTAAGATCATTGTGGTTGCTTATCACTTATTTTGTTCCCCCTTATATGCCTCTATTTCAAGTTAATATTTTCATTCAAGAATTTATATCAAACAACTAAATTATATAAATGCATTCCTCAAGCACACACCTATACAATATTTTTCAATATTTTTAGATAAATCACTAAAGCTACCTTCTCAAAATAAAAAGTAAACTATTCCACATTCCTTTCTAAATTGCATATATGTAGTTACTATTTTTCGTATGAGCATCTAAAATATAATAATTTATACATTCAAATTGAGTGCATAGCTTCAAAGTCATTATGGAAACGCTTGCTTTATCTTCATGTTCAAAATGTTAACTAACCATTTATAGCGCTTCCAAAGTGCTGCCTGGGTATCTTCACTATTTTTTCATATATGTTTCTGAAGTACATCTTTTTTTTCTGAAAGGCTTTCCTTGATTGAAAGGAATTCTAAAAAGTCACTTAGTATTTTTTGCACATGATGACTCTGTTCAATGATTTTTTTAAAAAAACTGTAATACAATCATAAAATTCAATTGTCTCCTTCAAAAAGTTCAAATTGGTTTCCTAAGCAGCAAACATTGTGGAAACATTATTGTGAAAGGATAGTTGAAATCAGTATTTTAATCAAATTTATGCATTCCGAATTCACTATCATGGTTTGTATTTTCAAACCACTTGTCTTTGATTTAAGTAATTCATTAGGGAAAACGTTATGGAGTATGTAATCTAATGAGGTTATTGTGATGAATCTCTAACAGGAAAATCAACCTACGGCATCCCAGTTATTATAGAAATTGCATTCCAGTAGTCCCAACCAACAGAGCTTAATAGTGACGGATACTGGGAATCAAAATTAAGCAACAGCTAGAATACCACAGGTTATTGAATCCATACTTTATATAATGGATGTTTGTTTACTACATACACACACACAGAGAGAGAGACACACACACAGAAAGACACCAACCTGAGAACCAGATCCAAGTTTATTTTTCTATTACACTTTTAAGAATTGGTATGAAATATTGTTGTAAATTCAATAATACTTTCAAATATTTCAGTCTTTTTATTTTTACAATAGCCTTTTTTGTGTGGCATACTGAATAGCAAAAATAAGATTCCATTGTATAACTGATCACAATATGAGTAAACAAGCTATGTACAACTGGAATACTGCATGTTTATAAATTCACACATACATTAAGGCTGGATGGAAATAAACATGTATTCTTGTTTATTCCAACAAATTAAGAAAAAATGTATTACAGATGAAATATCTATGGTTTCTTTCTTTTGACTAAAGCACTATTCAGACATTAAAAAGTGTTACTTTGTTTTTTTTCTTTTATCTTCTTCAGATGCTTTAGAAAGACTCTTTGCTACCTTCTTTACTTCTTTATCTTTGTCATCAGGCAATACTTTCATATCTTTACCTTTATGATTTTTGTCTAACTCTGATTTTTCTTTTCCAGGTTTTCTATCTTGCTTAATTTTATGAGAATCTTTTTTTGATTTATCATCAATTTTCTCATCCTTTATATCAAAGTCCTCAATTTTTTTCTTTGTCTTCTTCTTTTCTTCTTCTTTGGCTTCTTTCTTTAATTGCTGCTTTTCTTTTGTTTTCTTGACTGATTCTTTGATTACTTTTTCATTATTTAAAAAAAGGAAAATATTTTTAAAAATTAAGAGACCAGGTATCAGCATGCCAAGTGCATATCCATTCCAAGTTCAAATCATGAATTATGTTTCCACTTCAAAATAAGTTGACCACACAATATTAGTAGAAGCAGAAAAATATATAAAATTTATAGCCTTTTCTGCCTTTTGTTTACTTTTATGGGGAAGTGCTCTTAGGGTTGCTTCATTGTTCTTGTTGATGTCCTTCCTACTTAAGTGTTTAAAATTAAATTTTGCCACATTTGTATTCTTTACTAGTAGAGTTATCTTTGTTCAATACTTACACAATATAATGTAATTTAATTCATGTTTAATGACCATAACTGGGATCTGCACCAAGTGACATGGTTGTTAAGTGAGACATCATGTGATGTCTTGCAATTTACTGAAGGCTATTCCATTGACTCTGCTTGTCTGAATCCAACTGTACATTGCACAAATGGCAATCACATGACTGAACTGCAAAACTAAAACAATTACAGGAAGACTACTGAATGGAAGTGGGTAGTATAAGCATATTATCTCATCTTCTATTACTTTCATACAGAGTCCCACTTCATTTCTGCTCTTCCTATTCTTTTACAATTTTTTTATATGTTCTTTTCTGTACACTGAAATCAGACGTATACTACAGGTTTAGCCGTTTACTCAAGGCAGGCCTTTTCAGCAGCAGTCTAGGGCAGTAGTCCCCAAACTTTCTAGCTCCACAGACTGGCAGTGGTGATGGGGGGGGGAATGGTTTTGCATCAACACACACTGCTTGCACAAATAGAGTTTCATGCACTGTCCCATGCTTGAGCAGCCTGGTTCCCAACAGGTCGTGGACCAGTACCAGTCTGCAGATTGGGGGGTTGGGGACCCCTGGTCTAAGGAACATCCTTTTCAGTGAAGTATAATTGACATGAATTTTACTATGCTTTTTAATGTCAAATGAAGATGTTTTGGTCATATGTCAGTGTTCAGATATTATTTAAGCTGTTACTCTGTTATTTTAATTGCTGTTTTTATTT